CGACAACGGCCTGGGGCTGACGGCCGCCGACGCGGTGGAGTTCGTGAAATGGTTGGCGGAGCAGGCCCACGCGCGCGGCATGGCGGTGGGCTTGAAGAACGCCGGCGGCATCATCCCCGACGTGATCGCGGAGATGCGGTGGTGTGTTAATGAGCAGTGTGTCGAGATGGGGGAGTGTGAGACGTATGCCCCGTTTGTGGCCGCGGGGAAGCCGGTTTTTCATATTGAGTATCCTGGTGCTGTGGGCGAGGGGGAGGGGGAGGGGGAGGGAGAGGGAGAGGGGGTGGGGAAGGTGAAGGTCGCGGAAGAGGAGAAGAGTAGGGCGTGTCAGGGGAATGGGGCGGCGGGGTTTTCGACTGTGTTGAAGAATCTGGGGCTGGATGCTTGGGTGGAGGTTTGCTAGGGTTGTTTCTGGCGACGAGAGGGATGGGTGAAGGGGGGGGGCTGAGGGTGGTTGAGATAGATGGGGTCTTGGGATGTTGGATTCTATCTTTTGGCTGGGTTGGAGATCAAATGGTGGTTCAGCAGGAGGGAAAAGAGGGATATGGTCTGGTGTCTATGTTTCTTGATATTCCTTGTGAATACTTTTGTATGTCGAGTTGCAGTGCAACGCTTTTGTATTGGGAGATTCTTTGAACAATCCTATGCCATGGGCTTGATGCCGGAGATGAGAGATGTCTTCCTGATGTTGGGTTTATTGTAAGAGTGTCGTTGGATTGCAGTAGTGCAATATCATGAGAACGCACTATCAAGGGAGTCAACAGAGAGGCAGATGACAGGCCAGTGACTTCAGGAAAACGTGCTTCGGTTGAGGGAACATGGCTGCCATTGCTATCTGGTGGCCTGCTACTATGTAGCTTTCTTGCGGTGGGAGGAGTATATCTTTCTTCTCACCACTTACATAGTAGTAAACATGGCAGTACTTTTAGAAGGAAGCACAATGAGGCTCCTAAGAGATAAAATTGAGATTCGAGCAGTGATAGTAGATATTGGAGTAATTATCATGGCAGACTTTAAATGGTAAAACATTATGGCACCTGTAGGAGCCATCACGGAAGTAGACAACTTGCAAGTAGTTGACATTGTGGCCAACAGCTTCCGACCCTCGCTCGCACTTTCCCTCTTCTCCCGGCTTCATCCTCACCGAGACGCCGATTCCCAACCATGCAAGTTTAGCACCACCATACGTCTCCATGTTCCCCTTTGTTGTGCATCTATTTCAAAGCGAGGAACCCAAAGAATGTGCGAGAGAATGTCCGACATCCATCCATTCATCCGGCAGTATCCTCTCTGCTGATCGTGCCGCAGCCAAGGTACACCCACACACAGAAACACTTCCTTAAGCTCAGCCATCCTGAACGCCGTCTTCACCAAGAAAACAATGAGAACAACAGGTAAAATATTTCTCTTTCTGTCCCCTCTTCTTGCAAAGCGGAGCGATCGCTGACCGTGGCAAATGGTGAACTCTACTAGATATCCCCGACAGCCATGACAGCCCCGACAGCACACCAGCCACGACCGATCTGCACACTTCCACCCGAGGCAATCGTCAATCAACGAACCAATAGAGCAATCGCCTCCATCCATCCTTTATTCCCTGTCGTGGCAAGTGGCAACCAGACATTGCGAGCGACTCCCTACTCTCGATACACCAGCCGACCCGATATGATATACTTCATAGCTCAAGCCCGCAGATCGTTCCTCTCATGGTCTAGACACAAGGTCGCTCCCACACGGCTCCTGGACGCACTAAAATTTGCGGACCCATCGCCGCTCGAGGGAAATATTATCCGCATCGCTACCGTCCACAACATTCTTTCCAGAGCCTCACAAAAGCCGAACATCCCCACTCCCTCCAATCAAAAGTCCCAGAAGAGATTCCAACAGACCGTCGAAGCATCAGGTCGAATATGATTCCATGCTTTGGGGGCCATGTCGCTTTCTGTCAAGGGTTCATTGTCGACAAGTGCCGGTGCTTATCTTTTCTAGGGAAAGCGCAGGACTGCTGTGCTCGCTACTAGAACATACTCAGCAAACCATGCTACTTGACACGTACCGGGAGAGAAATTGGTAGCTTTGTGGAACGAAACAACAGTCCCATGGAAAACAGTGCCGGCCCGCTGCTGTCCAACGTTGGTCGAGAACCTTCGGCCGCCGCAGAAAAGTCGGCGACCGGGTCCAAAAAGTGCTGGGTCTTCTTGCGAAGGAAAAGATTTCCCTTGAGTCCATCACAACCACCATCGCAATAGTACTTCGCGAACAAGGTAAAACGGCACTCCCTTAATATCGAGCATGCTGCCGGAAAGGAGGTCACTCGCGGTACGTTTCCCGCTTGCATCATGTTTGGGTGGCGAAAAGGGATACGAACCGACAATAGTTTCGCATCATTGGGTGCTCTATTTCAAAACCTCTATTTGTTTGTCCATGGCAAACCAGGTCGAATCTCCTCTCTGATGGGAGGCCGCGCACCTTCCTGCATGTCGAAGTATTTCCGATGAGAAATGTCATTTGACGAGTAAATTCCTCAAGGAGCCACATTCCGGTTCCCTGCCCTTAGCGCCTTTGTGATCGCCCGCTGTCTCAACTCTCATTGCATTAGCTTGTCCCGGGGCGGCGTATCGGCTCCGGTTGCTGAAGAGGCTGATGGCCCTGTCTCCTCGTTTCACGCGTCAAAACCTGCTGGCTCTCTTGATTCCGGGAACTTGAGGTCTAGGTCGTATGTTTCTGATTGGCACAGGATTTGCCTGAACCGCAACAAGGAGGGCCAGAGCCCCTCATAAGAAGAATGGTTCCATCTTCCGGCAGAGGCCGATTCTGTCTCCCCCTAAAATCCGAGAACAAGTGTCGGTTCGCATCGGTCAAATCCGGTGAAGAAGCCACGAAGTTGAAATCAAACGTGCTGCTGCCACCTAACATCAGCAATATCTGCATCCTTTCATCCTTTCCTTCTCGGTTCAGCTTGTCCGCTCTCGACTCGAAACCTACCGAGCTGCGACAACCATTTCGAATCGTCCACGAGTCTTATCGGCTTCGCAAGCAACGGTTCATCTTGAAGTGAAGTTCGTGGGAACCTTGATGCATTATCCTCAACATAGGCTGCAATGGACACAGATTCAAAGTCCTCAGACTAGGAACGATTGCGAAGAAGGATAAACGACGCTTGACTCACTCCGGAAAACAACCAAGAACAGAGTACATATTCCCAGGGACAACATCTTTCACTGTCGAATTTGAAAGTACTCCAGCATGTTGCAGGGTTCTTCCATACCTCTTATATGGCTGACATCGATCTTCTTCATCCAGTTTCCTCCTATCCACGTCAACGCGAAGGAACTACACGATCCTTGTCCTTCCAACAGCGACCGACGACGAGGCAAACCTCCCGAATCATTATTCCAGCCGACAATCTGGCCGAGTTTGAATGATCTCTGGCAGCAATGCGCCCTTGACGAGCTCCGCATTCGCTACTCTCGCATTGACAAAGCAGAACGAGCAGACCCGCGCGCTAACCCACACCCTTCTTCTCTGAGAACCGAGTCATGACTTTGTTCGTCGAACATCTGGAGGATACGCCTGGTGTACTCTTCGTCGACAATCATTGAGACAAACATAGCCAAAGACAGGGAGACAGCACCAGAAATTCAGGCCTGCGGTGTTTCATCTGAGCCGGCTCAGCGCAGCTGACTGGACGGACGCCTCCTGATGCCGGATTTGCATAGCCATGCCTCCCGGCCACGCCGCCAGAAGGCCTAGGCTAGACTCGAGGGGTTTCACATGTTAAGCAGCTATGCTTAGAGGGCTCACGGATGGTACTTCCACCATCAAGATAGCCTGCAGATAAGTCAATCAGCAAGTCGATATAGAAAGTCAAACTCCCGGCCGAGCAGAGAAAATCGAGGGAAAGGAACGAACTAGACAGAGAAAGCGGGAGCGCGCGCGCTGTGTCGGACACTCGTCACAGATTCTGTAAGATACCTTCCGCTCTCTACAGACTTGTTGGCGGCAGCGGATCCCGGTGTGGCGCAAGTGGCGAACTTTTGGGACGGCTAGGAATTGCCTCGAGTGCGGATATCATATCCGCTGTGAACGAGCCTAGACGCTTTTATTCCGCGTAACAACTCGTGGAGATGCCCGTTAGAATCCACATACCCGCCAATGTCTCATCCATTAGGCGGTGCAGCCCACTAGGCAGGAGATTAGCCTTCGACGATTCATGTCCTCCGAATTCTATGGCCGGCTGATTCATCCTCCAATAAGACTATCCCGCAGGGATGCTTGCTGGCCGATAGCGCTGCTGATGCAGAGTAGTATCGAGCAGTCTCGCACTGAGCTTACGAGGACGTGTGAGCCTGATGAAGGGAATCGCATTCGATCAACAACATCTATTGGCGGACAACCGCAGACGGGCAAAGCAAGAGCGATCCCCGATTGTTGAGGGTCGTATTCTGTAAGTGGGATGATTCTTGAATTGATTCTGAATGGTGAAAAGATTGAACCCTGCTCTTCGAGCATTGTGATGAATCCTTACCGCCAGAGAGGTTCGTCCGCTTGATGTCTTGGAAGTTCCTACGTCAAAGGAACATTTTCTTAAAACTAGACACGGCAGCTTTCGAGACCTGTTTCACAAGCAACAAGGGTGCGTATGCAAGCCAAACACGTGCAATGCATTGTGCATTTGGATACGGGTGCTCTTCAGAGGAACGTGCTGCACACCATGCCTACTTCGTTTCGAGACTGAATCAGCCGCCCCCTGGCTCATCGGCGGTTAGTCTCACAGCAGCGGACGTTGGTAGTATGAATGGTAGTCACGGAAGAGCGGTGCAACGGGTCATGCGTACCATTCATTACATGGCCCCAATTCAAGGCTTCACTGAGTTCAGTGATGTGAAACAGGCGCATATCGATCGCGTTGCGTGTGTATCGTCCGGCCAACGCTACAGTTTGCTCAATAGATGTGTTCCGGGGGCGACAATCGGTTTCTAACACGCCGCCAAATCCCAATGCTATCGAGCGACATCTATGGCGCTCCAAGTTATGATTCGGATGTCACGGCACCTTCCGAAGCATTGTCGGAAACGAATCTGGACATGGAAACCAAGCCAACACTTATGTGCGCGCCATACCTTCTCGCGAGCGCGCCGAAGGACGGCGAGCACATCATGTGGGCCCGAGTTGAATGCGGTGCACAGTCTTTGCCAACATTGTCCTGGAAGATCGAACAATCAAATGTCCTGTTATCTCGACATCTGCGTAGGATTTACCGGACAACGGACGTCAAGCAGAGGGAGTCATATTACGGGAAACTGCGGCGCGCGCAAATTCACCTCCAAGTTCCTCTTGCCGGTACGCCCAGTCCGGATGACGCCCTCTTTCCCGCTCTCCGGATACATGGTTGGGAACATCGCTGCTGGTCGGATATCCAGCGTGATCGGCCCTGACAAAACGACGGAATAGCGACCACGGTCGCCGATTCCGTACTTGCAAGGACGTCGAGTACAACGAGATTCCGAACACGCTGGAACCTCTCAATAAGATGGATGCGGAATAACTTACCAGCTTCTACGAAAATACTACGGTACAAGGGTTGTTCCAATTACACCGGGAAATTCAGCCGGCCAATGAATGACAACGATTTAACAGAAGTGGACCACCGCATTCCATGATTTGCGGTCAGAACGGCCACTGTTGTTGACACCTTTCGGATCGACTTGGTTTCTGACACAGGTTTCTCGTACGAAGAAAAGACCGAGAGTCTCTTCTATCCCTGTACGAATATGTGGAAGGCATCGGGGCATGGACACCGCCGTCAAGTTCAACTGTAATGAGCATAACACCTCCATCCGGACGCGCAGGCATGCCAAGGGGGTCATGTCGCCGCCCTGGAACAAATCGGCGCTCAGATCCTGACTGATACGTGCTGGTGCATGTTCTAGCGAGCCATTGATTTCGAAATGTGCGCCAGAGCCGTCATGACGACTACGAGGGGCAGGGTGGACGGGATCGACCGTCGGCTGCGATTCGGCAGTCTCACCGAATTTTCCACGCTGTCCTGCTTGGGGCACGAGCCTTGGTCACTCACCTAGTCAGAATGGGCTCTTCCTGAATGGGCTCTTCCTGCATGTTTCGCGGAGGGGGGACCATCCTTTTGCATTGTCCCGAAATTCCTAACCCCTTCACGACGACGATAACCAAGCCATTGTTCTCGCTTCAGTGGTCAAATCAGGCCACTTCGAGGTAGTATTTCCGAAGCTCTAGACTACAAGCCTCCGGATGTCTCGAAATCATACTGTAGTTAACCCCTTGGCTTGGGACTACTGACCAACAAGCATGAAGATTTTACCCTCGGGTATCTCGGGCTTGTTTTCTGTTCGGCCGTCGGTATAGCTGTATGGGATATCATCAATAATTCGAGCCAACTGCCATCTACGACTATCACTATTGGGTGAATGGTCGTTGACAACTAGCATACATATTCTCTGATGATATCGGGGCTGTCGCGTTACCTATCACGGGCCCCCTTGATTACGCTAACCTGCGCAGGGATTTTTTAAGGGGCCTCAATAGAGATTCTCTGCTTCCCCCTCACCATTCTCTACCTCCTCTTCTGGAGTTTCGCTCAAGTGAGACAAACACTTCATATGCTGGAGTCTCTGATTCTCCTCGGATCTTTCGCAAGTCATGTTACTTCGCCGTGTATACAGCCCTGGCTCGTCGCAAGGCAGCGGGGAAGGAAGGGAAAATTAGTTTTCAATCACGGATCGACTAATCAACTGCTTCCGAGCTAATTATGATTCTATAAATGATATTATAATCAACCACAACTATAGGGATGGATCCTACTGAGAACTATGTGCAGTACATAGTAGTTATTATGCATGATTTAATCTTATCATCCGCGGGTATATCAGCGATCGCATATCATATTCAGAAGTTAGTGGACGTACATGCCATGCAGAACGGACTCCAATTTTCTCCAATTTGGAGAGGAGAAGACATATCCGCCGACTGTTTCTCGCTGTCAACACCCAGCCCATTGCTTCCAATCTGCTATGGCAAAGAATAAGTTATAGTGTTTGATTAAGACGGAAAGGACTTCGTCATGCTATCATTCCCTATGATAGGCGATGAACCCACGCTCTGGTATATCGGGATATTCTTCACCCGTTGTCGGAAAGGTCATGCATGCACTTGCCTACTCAATTCTTTTCATTGCCTAAGTTATCGAGAGAAAAATGCTACATAGTACAACCGAAGCTGGAACAAGTTTCTATTTTCTTGGAGAAGCGCAAAAAAAAAATCCCGAACCAGGGAGCAGCTTTTCCCCTTCCATTTGAGAGAGACGGGCCCCCCCCCAAGATAAGCACCTTAGCTTGCGACCGGATATGTACGGTAGTGTACGGAGTACTGTACATTTTTTGGCCTGTAACTAGTTAGTGGTTATGTATCGGTAGACAGAGACAGGCTCCCCTCGGTCCGGGGACAGGACAGGATGCAGAAGCGTTGGGAGATCCAGGGTTCCATGCACACAAAAGGATAGGTGATTCCTGCCGGGGCGGGGGGTGCTATTGTACAGTACATAGTAGGTCGCACGGTCTTGGATCTCAATTTTCAAGGTGCTGACGACCGTACCACATAATGTCTAACTACATGCCGTGCGTACTCCCTTTTCTGTGGCACGTAATGTGCCGTCGAGAGGTGGCTGGAAGGGATCCCCGAATTGTCTATGCGTACTCACTCATCTGGGTGAGTAACTATGCCAGAGGGGGATCAAGGCACAAGCTCGCAACTGATGGATCGATGATGGCTTCTTGCATAAGTTGATCAGACGCGCACTGATATGCCAGTTATGCGGACTCCGGTCTTCGTGGAATACTCTCTCCCACATGGTAACTATAGATACCAGTGGTAAGTTATAGCTGGCCCGACCCAATCAGCATGTCCCCAAACCAGAATTCGGAAATATCGCGGGAGGATATCGCGCCAGATGCGATGATCCCTCCCTTCCATACTCATACAGTACATACGAGTACTTAAGTCAGGTATTGTTGCTCATCATATAATATAACTGACAAGAATGACAGCAACCCTTGTGCATCCCCTCGATCCAGTAGGTCGGGGATTTCTCCCTACAACAGGGGGGCCCTGACGATCCTCGCTTGGCTTGTCATCGGTAGCAAGCACCGCACCCCTCTGAGTACAGTACCTCTGGTTTCCCTTGGGAGCACCGTGGACCGATGTACGTACTTCCGCTTGCGGCTTAGTGTGAGTTTGCTTGACAATATCTCCAAGTGCCTCGTTTATGAAGATGGGCGTGAGAGATAAAGTACTCCCCCTCCTTGGACCCGGCGCCAGTTTGTGATACTCATATAATTGATGAGGCTCTTGCCCGATTCGTCAGTGGGAGGGGGGGGGGGGGGGGGGGGTTGCATGGTTGACTACGACTAATATCATAAAGAGAAGTGGTGATTGCAGCCGAGTTAAGGACATTAGTCCAGTCCCGTGACCCAGATCGAGAATGTAGCACAGTCCCTAGTAAGTCGTTGCCGTATAACTTACTTCTAATAGTAAGCGAGTCCGTCAGCTCTATCCAGATCAATAGGGCTCTCAGGTACCCGATGCTCAAACATTCTCCCCGGAAAAAGCCGGCTCACCCTGCGAGATTTACTGTCAGCTAACTTAACATACCCAGCGACCGCATATGTACTATGTATGTAAGCCTTCCAGCTGAGTCAAAAAGTAGTGCTGAGCATAGTGCCTAAACTAGTCATCCATAGCGTGGCAGAATTTGCCGCTGGAACTTCTTGGCGATCAGCATGCCTACGTGTTGTTTCTTGACTTCAGTTAGGCACCCCTACCCTTGTCTGAGGGGCACGCGGCCGATGGCGATCTGGAACAGGAGACAAACGACCTTACACCCCATTTGCGCCGGTAATTGCGAGTTTGGCACCTCGCAACTACCGTGTTCAGGGACCTAAACTGCATGGATCATCCCCTTTCGAGGGATGGGTTGGTGGTCGGCAGAGGCCGGATTCCACACAATGATCAATGGCGGGTTTCAAGCCTTCTCCACTTCGGAGTCCTTGTCATCAAGCAAACAATGAACAGGTAGATTGCTGGCCGATGAGGTCATACTAGCATAAGGTCGTTGTTTTCCAATCTAATCCTCTTGGACGGTACTGGTGGAAAAGAAGAAAAAAAAAAAAGGTGATGGGCGGCAGACAAAGAAGCAATCAGAATATGCATCATTCGATAGGGGTCCCACTTCGATCCTCGATCCAGCCGTTGTTGTGTATCATCTCCCGAAGGGTTGGCATCGGAAGCAATTCCGTGGTGCTACACAGTAATCTAGCGGGGGAAGCTGGGCCGCCGGGGCAGGGCATGGTGACTGACTCGATGATGCAGCCGGCCTGTCTCTGTCGCCCAACGTCGGGGATATATGTTCGCGCATTGGTGGAGTCTTGCCGATCGTAGTAACATTTTTTTTTCTCATCCGAAGACGGGAACAAGTGTATGGATGCGCCACGGAGATGCAAAGAAATCAATTCAATTTTCCAGAAGGACAATCTGAAATCGAGGGGTCGAAAACGTCATTCCAGCTCAAAGAGATGATGATTAGAGTGATCGACGCCTCATCCACGGCCAATTGAAACCGAACTGGACTATTCTGTTCGTCGACTGGCCGAATGCCGTTCTTCGGTTTGCTGGAAATATCCGCTCCAACCGGGCCTCCTTGACCTGGGAGGTAAAAGATCAGACTCTCAGACGAACAAAAATGTATGTTCAGCAGAAGCAAGATCGGTGCCACATCGGCCCTTATCTCACCGTCTCGCTCACCTGCCGTTCTTTCCCGACTGAATTATGCATGCTGTATGTATATTGTGGGTTTACTCAACAAAGGGTTGGGCCGGTGGTGCTCACTACTCGGTTCTTCATCTATTGCGAGCCTGCAGCCCAAAGGGGGTGGGGGGGGGCTCCATCAGTATGCCCTGCAGGAATGCACTATCGGTCCGAATGTGGGTTGAGTGGGAACCGCTCTGAATGTTGGCCTGAGGAACGATCAATCAGTGTATCTTCCAGGGTTGTCCCCAACTTCGAAATAAGCCATAGAGAGGAAATCAAAGAAAACGGGAAAGAAACGAACAAGACAGGCGAAATTCAATTGGTTGCTGAAAATGAATTGTCACCTGGCCAATGACAAATACTGTGATAGGCACCAGGCGGGGGAGAATAACGTGGTCGTCGTTGGCTTTGCACGCCTATCAATGGCTGCCGCCGATGAACTCCTCCCCAATCCCCGCTCCAAGAAAAGACATCACATAAGAAAGGAGAAGAACAAAGACAAAGAAAAGAAAGGACTCAGAAACAAGAGCCAAGAACCCAAAAAAATAGGTCAAAAAGGAGAAGGAAAACCAGAAAGAGAGGTTTACTGACCGGATGACGATGTAGTAGTAGTCAATAGACAAACCGGTAGACTAGCGGAGTATCCACCGTCTCATGCAATACCAGATGATTAAGGTAACTAGTTGCAACCTGTGTGCTTGTCGGCAGATGTGTAACCACGCTCTGCGTTGAGTTTCAGCATGAGGAACCCTGCAGCGCATACCGATGCACAGCAACGTCAGATGTTAATCCGAGTGACAGGCAGTTTGGTCACCATAGGTGCTTTCATCGAACGGGAAATACTTATCCGGTTGACGGGGTTTGGCAGGGTCTGAGATTCGCTGTACTGGACAGGAGGTATTGATTGCTGCATCGCTTGATCCTGTTTCTCCCGCTCTAGATCCCGGCCTTCAATCTTCTGTTTCCTTTTGTTGATTATTTGCTTTGGTGGGCCCCTGCCCTTCTTTTCGTTTTCGTCTTCGCTCTTCTTGTCCTCCGCCCAGTAGTTCTCGTTCGGGAGTTCACTCCTCCTATCTCCTTGATTGGTACTTACAAGGGACCCTCAAAGACCCCTCCCAGAAGCTCGAGCTGGTGCGACCCTCGAGTCTCCAAGGGCTGTGCTGCGGTGCTGGAAATCACCCCCGACCGCCGGACCAAGGGTACTTGTCGAACCCGTTGCAGGGCCTGGCTTGTTTTCGGCCGGTCGCTGACGACGCGGAAGAACAAGAGATGGAGCACAGACTTCATCGAAGGACCCCATAATAGGTGTCTTGGCAGGCAACGGGACTGCAGGCCTTTGCGTCCGACGCCGTGCATCGTCGACAGTAATTAAAATCCGGCTAAGGATCTCTAGCGCTGGAGTGTGTCCCCAGGACACCTTGCGAGCCATAATGCCGCCGTTGCGCGGGTGAGGGTCAAGGCGGACCTTGTGTAGCGTCAGCCCAGCACTGGCCTGTTATATCTATCTGTTGTGTTTTTTCTTTTTTTTTTTTTTTTTTCGGATTGAATTCGTCATGGTGGGTTAAGGGAAGGTTCGAAGCTGCCTTTTCCTCCGTTTGAAGGCAAAAGCCGGAAAATGGATTGCCGGAGAATAGAACATGTGATGCTGCGTGTTTTTCGGGGGAGGAAAGAAGGGAAGTAGTCGTGATGGTGCCATTCTCCTGCAAGCGAGATTTGACGTCTTTGAAAAATACTTTGGTAGGAAGAACAGGAAATAAAATCGAACTTTGCTCTTGACTTTGCGGCAGTAGGCAAAACCCAAGTAGCAAAGGTAGCTCTCCATTGTAGATAGTAACGGTGGATGCAGAACCCGACTCTAGACTGATCTCTCTAACCCCCCCCCCCTCGCAAGCACCATGCAAATGAATATCAACGAGACCAAAAGAAATAGACAAGAACTCGTCGCAGGGCAATGAACCAGGAGGTAAGAGAATGAGAAGGAGACGAGAAAGAACATGAAAGAGTATGAAAGAGGACAAGAAGGAGAGGGAGATGGAGATGGAGATGGCAGTCCAGCAGTGGATGATGGCGGAAGAAAAGACGAAGAAGTTGCGGGATGGTCGAACGAGAAGGCGTTAGCTGGAGAAAGCAGTATAGTAGGTAGTCCGTCGCCCAGCGGGTAGGTGGCCGCCAGTGCAGCGTAGCTAAACGGCTTGAGAGGCTGGAGAGGGGGGCCCTGGAGGGTATAACAGTCTCCCATAAGGAAAGCTTCTTCCCAATGAATCAATGAATCATGGATTCTTATCCTCCCTTCTGCTCCTGTCATGGCAGAAAACATCTCACTTCCTCCCCCAGCTTCCGGCAAGAAAGTTCTCCCACCCCCCAAAGCTCCTCTTGTAAAACACTCACTTGCCTTCCTTGATGCACAAGGTACACTTTTCCGGCACAACAATAAATCGTTCATGAGGTGCTTTCCCACATCGTGATGAATTGTCTTTTATGCCTTCCACCTCTGTCCTCAAGAAGTGGGTGTTGGGGCTGTAGCAGGCCGTGTAAATGTAGTAGTTTTGAAAGTAGTTACACATGGCTGTCAGATCTTTAAAATTCAACCAGGGCTGAGTGAGGAAGGAATCGTAGTGACAGCAAATATGAGTGGTCAGCTGAGGTTCTGGGCTCACGTTTTCGGTGGTAATGGATAGGAGCCTGATTGAGATTGAGATGGCCCAGGATGTTGGGTCAATCGAAGGGCAAGAGGAAGATATAGTTGGGTTCCAGCAACAGCAGGGAGACAAACGGATTCAACAATTCGACGGATTTCTGGCTCTGGGCAGGGTTAAGAAAGCCTTTGTTCATGGTTGAGGGCGTTCCAGACCAAGTATAATATATTTTCTTTATGAAAGTGGTGGTGATGGTGATGGTGGGTTGAGTGGTGGTTGTTTGCCTACTACCACCTAGTACCAGCATCGGTCATGGCCCATCACAAGCCGGCGGTAGGTAGTGGTTGTAGCAGCAGGGGACAAGCAACCGCCTTGCGATTGAATTTTTTTCTTCCGCCGGTTTTAATTTACTATATTTTCTTCCGTTTCCAGATTTGATTATTATTCATTGGAGTGGCCTTATCCGGTCTATCTGCACCCCTTGGTAGTATTGTATCATTTCTGCCTTGTTTTCTCGAAAAGTTGTGGGTTTTCGAGATGTCTGTGAATATGGTTGTCTCTTCTCGCCTCTCCTGGGATTATCTCCTTCAAATATTCCTTTCCGGTCCTTTCCCATGATTATGCGGAGAATCGAGTTCCAAAGTTCTAACGGTTTGGCCCCCTCCCCCATAGTTCGATCGAGATCCTCCTATGTAAGTCGAGTTGCCTGTTTGATGTCGGACCCGCTCTGCAGGTTTCAGGACTTTTCATACTTCCTCGGGCAAATACGGCCAGGAAAAGTGGCATGAACGACACAGGTGAAACACAACAACGCAAACCAAACGGTACTTGAAATGGGCAAAATTGGTCAAAAAAGGAAAAGAGAAAATCGGAAACCTAAAAAAAAAAAAAAAAAAAATCTAAGGACCAAAAAGTCAAGGCGAAAGTGGCCGAAAAGAAGGTGGTTCCCCGAGGCGCGGCGGGTCTTCCTACACCGGGGTGCCCTAACGGCCAGGAGGAGCGGCGGAACGCGTTCCACAGCGATGCGAAGCCCCATCAGCGTCGTCGGACTGATCGGTTCGGGCAATGGGTGATCGACGCGGTCCCTCGCAGCCGTTGTTGCTTTTCCTCGCACGTGGCGCTAACCAGGATCTTCGTGCATGGGCAACGGCGAGCCTTCGACCACAAACAGCATCGTGGATTCAAAAAAAAGAATTCTTTTTTTTTTCTGTCATTGTTACTCAATGTGGTTTTATACTGGGGTGTCGCTTCCACTGTGGTCGACTTGAATCACTTCTAGGAGCTGATCTAATTAGCTTTTTCCAAAGTCCAGTCGGAGAATTCAGACTCAGGTCGGTTAGTGCAGGCCCAATTAATGATATGGGGGAAGATCGTAAGTTGACCATCTCAAGTGGGCTTCATTGGGGGACGCGAATGCAAGTCCGCCATGATCACGGCGTGCTTGCAGTGTCCCCATCTCCGCACAGTCTGTGTTGAGTCTGTTGACCTCGTCTAGTGGATTTTCTGCAGTTCGGTCAGGGCCGACAATGCCCTAACTAAGGTATAAACCTATGCAACCTCACTAACTTTATTTGTGGGACCAATCAGGTCGAGATTGTAGTCGTAGGCTCGTAAATGACCTTAATCTAGGGTCCAGAGTAGTAGCGAGACTGCCAGTGACAGCAGCCCAAGGGGTGGATATTCATCTGCAAGAAGGGAATTGCAAGTGTGGCTAGGCTGGCAGGCAGGAAGTCCGATAGGGCCTGAGCACCGACCGACCGCCGTCAACCCGCGGAGGTCAGTCAGGGCCCGAGCAGAAGATATCCGCCGCCAGATTATGCAGGTTTGAGAAGGATTCACTCTCCGAGATTCGAGCAGACTAAATCTAGTCTTTGGACGATGGCTGGTCTGTACTCGACAGCAATCTATCTTGTATTAGGAAAGAGGGAGAGAGATGCTGCAAATGGTACCATATGCCTGCCATATGGTGGTGGATGCAGTGGTGGATGCAATGGTCTCGGCCCCGTCCCGACCTTCGCGCTCCAACTCTACCAAAACAGTTAGCAGGCAGGTAAATAGATTGCTACCGGCAAACACAGACGGGGTAGCTTCAATTTATGATTGTTCGGCCGAGGAAAACACTTAGTCTGCGCTCGGCACTGCAGCAGCTCTCATGCCTTTCTGTTTCTTTTTCTCACTCGCACTCTCTCTTCGCTCTGCTGCCACTTCATATGATGTGGGTAACAGGTTTACCACACCCAAGTGAAGGCGGTGACCAGAGCAACGTATCTATCTGGTATCACAATCACTGATCATTCCTGCAGTGGGAGCTCAAGCATAGGTAGATCTTCCCCATACATCACATTCCCAAAGAAGGAGTGAACGTGATTGGAAACGACGATCTCATAGCAAAGACCAGGGGTAGAAGCAAACAAATCCACGGAGGGGGAAGGGAGGAGGGGAGGAGAAGGCGGGTTTGAAAGAGAAAGAAAGGGGGGGTCATGGCGGCATTTTCATCTGCCTAGTTGAGGCGATGGGGCTGGAAACAGCCACAAGATACTGTGTAGATAGGTACCTACTCAACTCGATAGGTTGGTTGGGGTTCATCTGCGAGTCAGAACCACAACCGTTAAAGAATTAGCCCGCTCGGTATTCGCCGAGTAGGAGAGAGTCTGGAGGAGCTAAAGGCACGGGTGGGGCTGAAGCGGGGGAACGAAGGAGTCGATCGGAGGGGGAGTTTCGCATTTCTTTGTTGTTTCGTTCTTTGTCTACACTCTTTAAAGTGCTTGTTTGCTTGTCCACTGCCCAGAGCTAAGGGAGATCAAGCCGCCATTGTCCCTGCAGGGGTGTTTCCGGAGAGAGTAGTGCTGATGAAGCACGCATGTTAAGAAGTACTGTCTGTACTCTACCTACCAACCAGCCATCAATACTTCTCAAAAGTACAGTCAAGATACCGTACACAATCAGGCGGGCTCGGTCCGTATTGAGCTCGCCGTGTAGTTGACTAGCTTATGCATGATTAGCAGTGAACTAAGTAGTTGCTGCTGAAGTATCGGCGCTCACTGTTGCTTACTTGCGGCCAGCGCATGGGTAGGGCCGCTAGTAAAGTGCATTTTAGCGGCACAGCTTGCCACTCAAATTCTCGAGAAGATAGATCAAGAATCGATCGAATCAGCCTTGCTCTCTCAGGCTCAGGCTGCTCCAAGAACCTGCCTATCTGAGGCAAGCTTAGGCCGGTCTAGTCCTTAGTACATGTACAAGGTAGTTCCTGAAAAGGGCACTGCAGTTCCGAGTAGTGCGCGGGACTTTTAGAAATGTACTGTGGAAATGAATTCCACGGACATTTGTTGTGAGAGACAAATGATTGTGAGGTCGACCACATTTTTCTCTGAAACCAATTTGCTTTGGATATCGGCATTGGCTCTGTTCTGTTTCGGACTATGCTCGGAATTAAGCCTACCGCCCAAGATCTGAAATTCAGTGTGCGATCGAGTGATCGAGTGATCGAGTCTGAAACCGGCTCTTTACGTCATGTCCTGCTCGTGGTCAAGATAAGTGACTGTTAACTTAGATACTACTACCTAGCTTAAGTTGCTCAAAATGCCCGCTGACTCAGGCCAACCATCAATTTGTCTGGATCTTAATTTCGGTCCTCCACGAAACTTCTACCCTAACTACAAATTGCCTCATTCCAACCATCGAGAAAACCCGCTGTATCGGTACGGTAACTGACTGAATGCCATCGAGGTCACGTGCTGAAGGTCTCATGAGGTTTAATCAACCAATGAAGGAAATGAACTCTCATACTCTAGTGGACGGTGGTCAGATGAGGGTATTAGAAGGAGCCGTAGTGCTCGAAGATGGGAACTTCACTTCTCGACAGAGATTTTGGTTGCTGATCAGGAAGAAGACCATCCAAACCAGTTTCCTTTAGTCCGTATGGTAGACCCGGACTCGACGCACGGCCGGGTCGTCGGAAAGGGGAAGGTCCACCGTCCATGGATGGATCGGATGTTATCATCCCTTTCCTATGTACCGTATAATCACTTCATTACAATACTTCCCCGGGCACACAAAATTGACTGCGCCAGATGTAAGCCACGAATCTTCATTTCGTGTGCGCGGCCAACTGGTGTCTGGCCCCCGCCTTCGTTGTCAGCCTGGATGTGATCGGACCCTTCGTCCACTAGCTCCAAACTCACGCCTTTCAAACGTGCATGTTGTTGTTGCCCCGGTAGGCGACAGACTTGATTTCGGAAGTTAGTGGAGCAACGGGACAATATCGGATGCAGAATCTGTTCCATTGGAACTACTTCCAGGCCGTGGACAGCAGCAATCTGCACGAAGAGTTGGCAACGAGAGGAAAGTAGAACAAATGAGTTGGGTGAGATAGGAGATGGAGGAAGGATGAGAGGGACTGCCCTCACTGGCTCCCTCCCCCTCTCAAGCACTGAAGCTTTTAGTCCACGACCACTACATCGTCGCTGTCCATGAATCCACCATCGGGGTGCTCGTGGAGGGTGCCACTCTTGGGCTGCGGCATGTCTCCATCCACCTCCTCAATTGGTCCTGTAGCCGTGGCGTACCAGCCCCGGTCGACTGACTCCACTAGCGCTCTGCTTGCCTCGCGAATGAGTGAAGCGTAGCCCGGGTTCTCAGTCTGCAAGAACATGCTGGTATGAGCTTTGATTTCATCTGCTGCTTTATCATTCACGGCTCTAGCCCATCGGAGACCTGGCTCCGGAACCTCCGGGCCTTGGCCTCCCGCTGGAAGCGAACAGAAAGTGCGGTCCTTGGAGCGTATAATCTTTTGGCTGAACGACGTATTGCTACGGGTTGTGTTCTCTACCAGCGAGCTCGCATTCTTGCCCAAGCACGTATAGAAATTGACGCAGGCAATCCCGCGGTTCTTTTGCACGTCCGAGAGCGACGCCAGGCGCTGCCGCAAATCGGAAGAGCGTGCCAGGCAGCCAACAAATACCAGGTGGGATGACACCCAGCCCCAGCCGTCGGTTAGTCGCTGACGTTGCGAATACACTGCCGCCGCCCCGCCGGCCGCCAGGGCGCCTGCTCCGGCAAACATCGCGTACCGACCCCACCGTTGCCAGGACGGCGTGGCAGCGGCGTCGTTAGTCGATGAAGTCGGTAGAGATTTTTTAGGCTCCTCGGACGATGTTGTCTCCCCTGAAGAATTGTTGCTCCCTCCGATTCCGAATAGGCCAGCCACTTCAGACAACGCGGTATATGCGCTGGTAGCATTTCGAAACTGTCCCTCGGCCCCGTACGAAACCACCCCGGGCGCAATCCCCAGAAACGGCGTGTCGAATGCGAGAACCCCTTGAATATGCGGAAACATAAATGAGCCGGCTCCGATGGAAGTGTCCGAATTTGTGCAAGGGCCAGGTGCGTTGGGCTCCGTTGAGACATGGGCGGCGGGCTTGGGAGGCAGAGGCTGCTCGGAAGCCAGTAGCAGGAGCGTCTCGGCCGCCACAATCCCACCCATGGAGTGACCGACTAGAAACACATGGACCGAAGGATCCACGGTGGGCGAAGCTGTTCGGTTCGCGACTTCCAGGTCGATGACTGTATTCTGCAGCCTGCACCGACGGCTGTGGCTTAGTGGTACGTTCAACCAGCCAGAATTGAAATCACATGAAATTAAGATGCAACGAACCATTCCCGAAATGTGCTCACACATTCCCTCAGGTCGCCTCGAGTTTCGTACTTTGGGTAGACCGCGGTTGTCACTCGTGCGGCAGGAAGAGCACGGCTGACCACCGTGCAAAAATGCCTAGGGAAGTCTCCGAATGTATCGTCGCCCCCCTGCGAGTATTAGCAACACCATCAGGTATGGTGTGCGACCGACACAATTTGTGCGCGCAAGACAGGTGAAGCGTGGCAAATCGCGGATGCGAGAGCGGACCGTACCTTGAAGCCGTGGATAAACACGATCAGCAGTGTCTTCTTCATTATGCTGGATGGGGCTAGACTGAAGGACACATGATGGTAGTGCGAGTCAAGCAAGTCTGAAAAGGAGGGGATATGAGGTGAGTGAGTCTGAGGATGGTTGTTGAGCAGTGAACAATCTACGGAGTACCAGACTACGGATAAGGCGTCGGTCAGCGGGAAAAAGCCACTACGTCATCGGGCAAATGATGCACGTGATAGGGGTCCATTGCAGCACACACCCACGTGGTTGCCTCGCTGCCTCGCTGCCTCGCTGCCTCGTCGGAGTCTTGTCCGGTACTGTTATCGAGTTAAGGCATTCTCCGACTTGGACTCGAATGGCTGGAGCGAAACCGTGCGACAAAACAGTCATACGATCTGTACTTTATCAACTGCCATCCAACGGCATGGGCTGGGTCTATATAAGGTTCTTGAGGCTTGCGCCAGCCCAAGCCCTTCATCGACCTGAATCTCGATCTCGATCTCGATCTCGATCTCGATTCCTTTCGATCAGTGCCACTCGAGGCTATCTGCACCCGCTTCACCATATCAGGCTAAGAGGCCAAAGCGGGTCGTGTATACAGGCACAACCTTCTTGCAACCTCATAAGAGTTGATACTGGATAGATTCACTGCGTGTAGATACCAGTAGTGCAGTCTGGCCAATCCCTCTATATTCACCGGTAGGCTTTGGTACCTTAAACTCTAGTACTGCTTCCTCCACTTGATTTAATCACCTACACCAAATTATTGAATATGCAAGATTGCCACATTACAATCATAGCCTCGAAATAGAGAGCCCTGTGAATAAGGGATTGCATCTCAGATCAGTGGCAGCGTTATCGTATAGTTGACCTCTCCTCGACAACCTTCTCTCTTGATCGTCATCCCAAACGCTCGAAGACCTGTTATAGACTATTTAGACTTATGACCAAGGCCTCGTTCTATACGAAGTCTGGGGAGCCGCCCACCGCCTCTAGTACATTAACCCCTCTCTACTATGATGGAACATCTATATCATAATAGTGATATCCACAACATCACCACACTCTTGTGGCAGATATTCGGGTGCCATACTCCTTCCCCAAGTCCTTGGCCAGGACCATCGATACTCGTGAAATCGCAACCTTATACACCCGCCTATATGGCCGTTCAGCCCGGCCACTGATTTCTGTCGCTCGGACACTCCCACCGGGGTGCTTGCTTGGAATATCGATTCTTTTGGGATCACGCACGACGCGACTTGATCTACCTCAGACGAAACAATGGCAAAAGTCCTCCGCGATCGAAGTCCGTCGACACTCTTGGCGCTCAATAGTGCCTGGGTAGCCTCCAGCGTATCATACACTCCCGGGGGGTGAAATACTCACCACTCTGAGCAAACTTCATGACTTGCCTACGGCTATAGACACTGGCGCATTCAACTAGCACCGAGACAACTTTCATATTCGACCCTTTGTTCCTCAAATGAGGAGCCCAAACCGATGGCATTTCCTAGAGTGGCCTCTAAATTATGGATATGACTAAAGTCAGAAAGGCAAGGGCCTATCGACGATAGCTCAAATGCTATCATACCTCGACGAAATCTCTATTACAGCTTATTATTCCAGCCCTGTCATGGCTCATATCACTTGCATGGCTTAGTCACTACAGGCGGTTTCCACGTTGATGATTAGGTACTAGGTATGTCGAGCCTATTACCCAATTCGACCAGGGTTCACCATTTGACTGCCCCGAGTGCCCTGTGGAGAAGGCGGAGCCGGGCACTGCGTGAATACTGGCTCCTGCAAAAACAAAAAGAAAACCAAAAGCAATTCGCTTGACACCAGCAACATTTCAACAACTGGATCTGTGATCATCACTCAGGATGCACACCTGACCCGTCGTTCCTTGATTGGACCAGATAGCAGATTAATGAACGTTATATACTGGAAGGATAGGGTCAAAAGCTCAGTCTAGCCTGAGAGAATGGTCGGAATCGTGTGCCTCAGGTAGTGGATGCCAGCTATCTCTTTACAGTAAACAAGGAAACAAGGATATGCATAGTTGGGAGTCTGGGGGGACATCACTTTTTTGTGACTTAGGATTCTTGCAGAGACATAAGCAGACGCATCCATTGTTCTTCCCTCTCGCGTTTCCATGATCTATCGTCTTTTCTAGAGGCCAAATATTGTGACACTTCTTGCCTAGCTCGCAGCTCATCAGGAAAATGTTTGAATGAATCGGATAGGTGCTTCAAATGCCGTTCACTAAAAGCCACTGAAGACCATTATAAGTCCCGAGAATATAGATAGACCCGACTGATGTCTATATATCAGGATATATGGCATTGAGAAAGCGAGCAAGGTCCAGGTGTGTGTGAGCACCGACATAGTAATGGAAACCCCCATCTAGCGGGGTAGGCGAGATTTCCATCTTCATCAGGGATCTCGGAGGTTTTCAATGCGATGAGGCTCGTCAAGAAGGAGGCTGGTAACCATATTGAAGATTATCATTTGCTCGACATGTTTGTGCAAGAGGAACCACACGCACGAAGAAGATGGTGACGGTGGTAAAGGCTAAGATGCTATCACCTTGGCTGCGTGTAGCCTGGAAGTCTAAAATTGTCGCTCCCCCCTGCTTCAGCTCATTCAAGCGATCGATGGACCTGTGCACAGTAGACTAAGATGCGATGGCACCTACATGATGAGTTATTTTGAACCACTTGCGCTGTGGCATGCGAGCTGCTTATTCTCCGTCTTTCGTATCGAGAGCCCTGAGCTCTACTTTTTGTCTTTCTCGGCTGGGAGCGTGAACGCTCTAAAAGAAAAATGCTTAGCATGCTACCTGAGAGTATAGATTCTAGTCCTAAGGGCTTTATGACTTTATATTTGACATAAGTACACGATACATAGCATAAAATCTGGTTCTGATGTAAAATAATTTTGATATAAGTATAGGAACCTCAGAACCTCAGAACCTTACAAGCCTAGATAATTACAGAAATGCTTTGTCCTATTTGTATCTCACCTATAGATATATAAGTAGCGTAATTGTTCAGTAAAAATCAGACCTTGAGATTGGGTTTTCTTAGTACACACTGGTGTGGAAATGGGCAGCCTGTTTACCGATTACATTAGCCAGCTATCTAGTTTCTGACTGGTGATCACCATATAGTGGGACCCATTGACGACAGTTATAAACGGTTCCGGTTACCGCATGTGCATGTCCCAGGGAGAGACCAGTCATGGGGCCCTTGTCATGCGTCATCAGCATCACTCTGTTCATGGATGTGCTAGTTATGGGGAAGATATTCGCAATCTACCGCCGAAGTCCAGCGTCACAGTCATCTCAAGTTGGTAGCGATGGTGTCATTCGACGTGAACATTTAGATGGAGCCATATGAGTTAGAGGCAGCGTGATCTGTCCTCTCGATTCTAAAGCTGTCTAGATCCACGATCAGAGACACGGCTTCAGGCTAATGATCGAACAGATCCTTTGTTCTTGAGCGTCCATTGCAAGAAGCATCCAGTATAACCGCATTTCATGACAACGCATGATATGGATCTTCAGTCTACAACTGCGATCGACACCAGTGATCGAAATCAACTCTCTCGCCCACCAACACCCTCCCACTCCGTAATCTGCGCATTCTCCCAGATCTTCTCCGAATGCCCCTGAACGGCAAGATCGACCGCCGCCCGCGCCAACACGTCCACCCGCACGGAGGGCGCCAGACTCCGGACCCGATCGGCCAGTGTCCCCTGGCGACTGAGCACCATGCCTGGACGCATGATATATGACTCGAACGTGGTGGAGTGCCCGGCTTGAAACTCCAGAAAGATATTCTCGGCTTGGCCCTAGAGCTCTGTTCATCAGTCTCTCTGTTTGTAGATTATCGAATGGCTGAAAGGGAGGAGACATACCCTCAACCGACGATATCCCGCCGTCACCCACAAAGACTTCGTCTGATCGCGCTCCGCCATCCCGCCGCTGAAGTACACGAAGCGGAATCTTGAGCCGGCCGCGGAAGGGGCTTCTTCTCGTCCTGGTCCGGCCAGAGAAGCAGTAAAGGCCTCGTTGAACGCTACGGCTGCCTGGCTGGTATACTCCAGCGTGACTCTCCGGGAGGCCTCTTCGTCAGCTGACGCGCGCGAGGGCGGCACGCCTAGCGTCCAGATGCATGCGGTGGCGCCGGGGAGGGAGGCGGCGAGCTGCGGGTCGGCGTAGGAGAGGAAGTCCTGGTCTTGCATGCGGTGGACCTGGAGTTTGGGGTGGGTGATGTTATTGGGCAGTTCGCGACGCGACAGGACGAGGATGGAGGTGATTGAGGGGTGGGCCAGGCACTGGGTGAGGACCTCTTGGCCTACAAGCCCGGTTGTTCCGGCGAGGATGATTTTCATGGTGCAGGTGCTTGTTCTGTTGTATGCGGAGTAGACTCAATGGTGGGGGATGGATGGTTTGGGCTAATTATGAATGTCAGAGAATGGCTGACGATGAATACACTACGGAGTAGTAGCTTTGTCTTATTGCTTATCATACATCATTAGACGTTTGGCACTAGAAGGAGTACGGATGTAGCGGGCATAAGCATCAGTCCAAAGTACTAACAATCTCACCCCTTCGCTGGAGACTAAATTTTGATAGGTCGAACCCCCGGCATGACTCGTGGTCTGATCGCTCATAAGGTCGGATGAGAGGGAGAACAGGCGCATGGTAGGACTCAGCTATAATTATCAATAACCCCAATAGTGACATCGAGTAGTTACTTCACCTATTTCTGGCGATTTAGGACCGAGAATACATGCTGAAATTGTATAATCGATAAGACTGTCAACTGGCGCCGATACCAGGTGCATACACTAGTCACTCCATCGTCCTTCTTTATCACTAATGATTCCGCCTCTAGCAGCTTGAACTGACCATTTAGAGGCTCACTACTATTTCCCTGCGCCTATCTCTTCTTCTCAAAACAGGAACGCGGTTGCAGCAGATTACTATCTTTCTACCAAGGCACGTATTCTGATTTATGATTAATACCTAGAGCAAGGACTTTGAATGACGGTTAACAAGTTGAAGTAATATTGAAGATATAGAACTGGTACCATTTCGCATGAATGTATTCTTTTCTAGATAACGTAAGTCAAAAAATGCTTGGTTGTTACTCACACCAACTATGTATACCATGGCCCGACTATGTGCAGAACATACAAAGAATATATCTATGCAATCCCTCATAACCAGCTCATCCTCACAACTTCTCCCTATCAGTCCGAGATACCTTCAGCATACCATCCTGATAACTCGTCGCCACCAACCTCCCCTCCGGCGACCACAACCAACTCTCATGGATCGCGCGACTACCCCCGGACCTAGGCGTCCAGCCCTCCTGAATAAACCACTTCTTGGGCAATCCACCCTCCTCCTTAGCCTCTGCCTCTACCTCCGCCTCTGCATCCCAATCAATCATCCGCACCGCCTCCCCAAGCTCATGAAACACAACCGTCAGCGTCAAACTCGCCAGCGCATCCCACACCTTCATCCCCAACGCGCGGGGGATCAGCAGCAACGAGTTCTTATCCGCCGCATACATATGCGCGCACGCATACAGATTATCGAACTCGCCTGCCCTCTCCCTCCGCCTCACCTCCCCCACCCTAACCTCTTCCTCCTTCACAGAACCACGCTGATCCCCCGGCGACCCCTTCAGCTTATAGAACGTCAACTGCCGATACCGATCCGGCTGACCTGTTACCTCCTCCCTCCGGTTGAACCCGCGCATATCCACATTCCGCGCCTCCAGCCCGGGGAACTCGCGCTCCGGGATCCCGTGCTTCTCCCACTGCTCGCGCCAGTGATTGATGTAGAAGTCTGCGTCGACGCCGGGCTGGACCGGAAAGTCCTGGGGTCTCTTTCCCGCGAGAAGCTCGGCGTAGCGCTGTTGGGCGGAGACGGGCTGGTGCGCGAACGGCGCTGCGGCAGGCGGTTCGGCGCGTTTGAACGAGACCAACCCCGAGAAGCAGATCTGGTGGGCTTGACGGGCGTCGACGGCGCGCGTGCAGTAGCTTTTGCCGTCGCGGAGGTGGCGCACCGTGTATTCGTAGGGGATATCCAGGCGGCCGGGGAGGATGAAGGTGCCGGTCACGTTCTTTGATTTGGTTAATGAGTTGGTCTGCAGGGTGTAGGGGTTTGGGGAAGGGTGGGGGAGGGCTCGGTGGAATCCATACGTGGATGAGGAAGCCTTTCTCGACGGTCTGCGAGGCGGCGTAGGCCGATTGGGCGTAGACGTGGCCGCCGAATGCGCGGCCTGCTTCGCCCGGTGGGTAGGGTGGTGCCAGCGATTGGAAGCGTTCGATATGTTCCGGGCTGTTCGCCGAGGGGAGTTGGCTCTTCTTCACGGGCAGGCGGCGGAGGGACATCAGCTCCGCGAAGGAGGAGGGGCTTTCGGTGTAGGAGAGCTCTAGCATTGTGGTTTCGTTTGGTCTCGGCTTGATTTGTAAGATAGAAGAGAGTCGAAAGAACAAGACCTTGGAGATGTGGTGGCACTTGATGCTCGTGATGGGTGGATGGTATGTACAGTATATTCTTGGAGACGAATCCCTGATCCCTGTCGATTCGAGGGTTACGGTGGGTGCGGATGAGAGGCGACGGCGGTATAAGACCGAAATATGTGCATGTGATGTGTTACTACTGAGGAGTTTGACTTGAAAAAGAGAGGGACCACCTGGGCAAAGAAGGTTGAGGAGGGGGATCTGCTATTGTTGAGGCTAATTAAGCGTCTTCCGTTCCTGGACTGCATCATAACCGACGCATGTCGGAGCTAACCTCGGCTGATGATGCCGTTGCGCTTTTGCACGCGGCATGATCTGCGGCCAATCTACACTCCCTACTCCGGAATCTTTCCCACATGATTCGCAATTCCAGACCTCACTGTTTTCTCTTCAAGGGTCGTGCCTCCTACATGTTTTGGAGGCTGATTGATGCGTCGATCGTCCACTACTGCAGCCCGGAGACAGCTTGCCAACAGCCTGCCAAACAAACGGTAATGCCGCTCTACCAAGCGATTGAGATCAACTAGCCTTGCACTCAACGCACCTTCACTCACGACCAGCCCAAATGTCAGGTTCCCCTCCAGAACAAGAGAGTAGTTGTAGCCCACAAGCAAACTCAGATGAATTGATCTCGCCATCGGTACTGGCCGACAATCTGCCAGTTCAGGTATATGCGCCAACGATGCTGATATGATATACAACAAAGACACAAAAGCAAAAAGAAAAGAACACCCATCCCAAATATGATACAATAACGATCTAGACGCGTTGCGCCACGGGGGCAACCCAGACGAAGATCACCCGGCTCTTTTGTTTCTCGTCGCGAACATCAATAACAAGTGCAAATCAACCATTCCACACCATCGATCAGATTGAGTCGGTGAGCGGGCGGTATTTGTTCCAGTCCACCTTGCCCTCCACGTCCTTGATCTCCTCCAGCTTGTCGCCCAGCTTCACCACGGAGAAGCGAATCATACGGGGATCGAGACCGAGGGTGCGCAGGACGGCTTGCTGGACAGCACCAGAGGAGTCGAAGCGCATGATGAAGTGGTGACCTTCGTGGTAGCGGGCCTGGTGCTTCGTGGTCGGCCGGGGCAGGGTGAAGGTGCCCCAGTTGGTGTAGCCGCGGACTACGCCGCCGGCGCGCAGGACCTGGACACCGGCATTACGGGCGATACTGTTGTATAATTAGATCAGGGCAGAGAAGACTGTATGAGGAATGACGTTGAGATGAAAGTCTGGCTGTAGGGGAGTGTAGGGGAGGGAATCGAGTCGGTACGTACTCGCGGACCTCGTGGAGGCTGCCGGGGCGGACCTGGTGTGATATTAGCCACAATTCTCCATTCCCACGAGGATGGAAGACACATACAACTGCAATCAGCTCGTACAACATGACAGCGGTAAACCTGCAGAGAAGCAATTTGTTCTGGACCTGGACAATGGGACCAACGAAAGGGACAAGCGAAGAGTCGACAACAAGCCCGGGAACATCTGACAGGGAAAGGGAACCAGATTTTTCCGGGCCGCGCGCCCGCAATGCTTTTTTGCTTATCAGTTAATCGGCTTGGCAGCCCGAGCCCGTTATCAGTACACTAGGTGTAGACTAGCCTAGCTCCGGGAAGTGCTCGTCATCTCCGTCATTAGCTTTCCTACTCCTTCCTGCCCTTTAGTATTTAACCTCTTTTCCCTTCCCTCTTCCCCCACACAAACCCAACTCTTGCTCTTCTTCCTGACACCCTCCGACTTGCTTCACCACGCTCCTCGCTGCGCCTACCGTCTCAATTGCCATTCACAATGTCTGCCCTCGCCAGTTCTTTCCGTCCCGTCGCCTCGCGCTTCCTCGCGCAGAAGCTCCCCCTCTCCGCCGTCCGCAGGGCGACCCCCGTCAGTTTCCCGCGGGGAAGTGTCCGGAGCTTCTCCCAGAGCCCATTCTGTACGCATTCTCCCTCCGATGGCTGTGTTTAGGGGGTTATTGAAGCCTCCGCATGCTTTGGTCTTCATAATCCCACAAAAGCAAAATAAAATGTCCTGGAAAATAGTGGTGGCTGACCGACCTCCTCAACCCATACAGGGCAACTGAAGAAGTATACCGAGTCTCACGAATGGATCGAGCTGGCCGATAACGGCAAGACGGGTGAGTCTACCTCCCCCTCCCCCTCGCCTTGAACCTCATTGTCCTAATTCCCTCTGTGTCCCTAACTCTCCCCCTCCTCCCTGCCTTCTTCCCTCCACCCCAACCCCCCAAACACCCAAGCTAATGACCCCCCTCACTCCAGCCAAAATCGGCATCACCGCCTACGCCGCCCACTCCCTCGGCGACGTCGTCTACGTCGAGCTCCCCTCCGAGGGGCTGGAGGTGAGCGCCAACGAGCCCGTCGGCGCCGTCGAGTCCGTCAAGTCCGCCTCGGACGTGCTCTCGCCCGTCGCCGGCACCGTGGTGCGCGGCAACGCCATCCTCGAAGACAAGGCCAAGTTCATCAACGAGAGCCCCGAGGCCGAGGCCTGGATCGCCGAGATCGAGGTCGCCGACGCCGCCGAGTTGGACTCCCTGCTGGATGAGGCCGCCTACAAGGCGCACATCGAGGCGGAGGATCACTAGGTCTGGTTCCATAAGAATGTGATGGGTTTAGGGGGAGGCCCGAGGGGGCTTTTTCGTCTTTGATTTTCTTTAAGGTTGTTCGTGCTTGCGGTTTTCTTACGGGATGGAATCTTATGTTTTGGGATAATGTTGCGTCTCGGCGGGATACGACGTGGATTTGATTGGGTTTATAGATATGATGATGATGATGCGCGGTGGGTTGATTCCAATCCGGCTTCGGTCGGTTTTGATGACGATGGGCTGGGTTGGGGAGGGGGTGGGTGATTGACCTAGCGTGGCTGCTTGGTCTTCAATGGGCTCGACCTTGTATTCAACATTCAACCAAGGGTTTACAGGATATATCAAATCAAAAGAGGTTACTATATCAAAACTAGAGTTCTAATGAATAAGCTAGTTTGCATTGCTAACATTGTCGGGGCGTCTATAATACGTGGCTATCGACACAAACGCTGCGGACGCTAACATACACTCTACACCGGGGGAATGGATTCGCGGCAAATCGGACATTGAAGTCGGAGCCGCATCCAGCTCTCCAGACAAGTACTATGGAAAATATGCCGGCAGGGCGTGACCATGTACGTGCGCCGGCTGAGAATGCTCGACGCTCCGTCGGCCATGCCCGCCCCACCGGACGTGAGAACGGGCACCTCGATCTCCTGCATACAGATGGCGCAGTCGAACACCGCCTTCTTTCGGTCTCTCGAGCGATGTTTGTCGTCGTCCTTCGATTCGCTGGGGTATTCGCGTTCGTCGGCCCGCAGCGCCCCGATCGGGAGCACACCCCCGGACTCCAGATCGTCACCCGACCCGACATTATCACGCAGGGTCGGATGGTAGTCGTACGCAGGAGGCGCCCATCCGCGGGGAACGAAGAAGCGCGGACCGAGAATGTCCTGGCTCGCGAGGATCCAGACTTGGATCCAGACCCAGCCGATCAGAGAGAGAGCCGTCGTTGCGTCGGGTCGGATGAAAAGCACGTTGCCACGGGCGGTAAGGAAGTAGAGGAACGGGAATAGTCGGAGACAGCTCTGGCCGACCACAAAGTCCCATCGCAGTGCTTTGCGGCAGTTGCGCATGACATTACGGTAGATCTGAGGCGTCCAGAAAGAAAGATAGATAAACCCGAGTACTCGAGCATAAATAGCTCCGAGTCGATTTGGCCAAAGGAATGCCCAGATAGATATGATAAGCATCACGAAGAGGATGAAGTAAAACCGTGCATACATGGTTCCCAAATCACTTCGAGCGTCCCGCGCTGTCTGTGCAGTGCCACGATTGGCGGCTGGCGCGTCTTCATCAGCCGGAGCATCCTGATCCGGAGGCAATATGACCGGGGTTGCCCCCGAGTCTCTGACCTGGGCAGCCGTCGCAGGAAGTGGCAGATTTGCTGGACGGGCGTTTGCGGGGGCCCGGCGCTCCTGCTCCCGTCGTTCTGGAGCTTGGATGGCATAAATCTCCATCATGAACTTCATTCCGATGTAACTGACCGAAAGGAAGGTGAGGAAGGATGCGGTTGTCATGACCAGGAACGATACCACCGGGTATAATTCCAGAAGAATGAAGACGAGGACAAAAGAATCTCCGAAGGCCATCAGGGCCATCGTGTAGAAACTGATACGACTCCGAGTGGAAGGGGTCGAGGCTTCCTTCACTTGCCTTAATAGCAACGCGATTTGAGCAACGGAGACGGCCGACATAACAAAGATCATGCGAGCTGAGTACTTTGCGAATTCCTCTATCTTTGGACCGGACAGATACAACGTCTCCGTGGGTGGGAATTCAGGCGCGCCCTTGGTCTCTAGGATGTAACCGCAATCAGGAGAGAACACCACGGCTGACATGACCATCAAAGGAGGTGATGGGATTGGCGCCCCAATGGGATATCTCAGTTCCTGCTCTATCTGCTCAATCACCGCCTTGTCGGCTAGATAACCATGGATTGCGAGTGGGTGCTGTTGCAGGTAAACGATGTGTTCACATCTCGGCGCAGGAAACTCCATATGCTCACTGCCCGCTAAGGAGGACCAGGGGAAAAGAGTAGGAGGCCTGTTCTGCTTCTCAGAAATGGTATCCGATAATGATTTGATGAGAAGCTCATGAGTGAGATTGTATGCATCAGATGAGAGACTAAGATGTGGCAAGGTGAGGAGGCCCCCAAATTTCTCGCTAGTGGTGCTCAGGATGATACCGCCAGTCTCTGGAAAATGTATACCAATGAGTGAGAGATACCAGGTATTGCCCCAAAAGTCACCACTTTCCACAGCTAGTGTGGCTCGGATCTCCCGGACATGGCCCAAAGACGACCGAAGCTCCTGTCCGCCTCCTTCACGTACATCGAGGTAGAATGTGCCACTGTTGCCGGTGACATTCTGGCTGAACTCATGCGTGAAGTACTCGTTTTCTTGAATGATAGCAGTCTTGTTGAGGGGAGGATGTGGCTTGTCCTGCTTGCGGCGCACCCATTCGCCGCGCAGCTTCCCTGTCGCATTGCGGTAGACCGGCAGCGACAGTTGCGTCAGGTTGAGATCCGAAAGTGCGTCAGACACTGCAAGGGACTTGGGAGGTCGGAGGCCTGCCTCGGTCATCACAGACCGCAACTGAGACCGGGCTCTGTCCTGAACATCGGGGAGAAGGTCCCAGGCATAACTGTCGTTCTTGCGGACGCCTGGAAAAGGCAACCATTTATCGGATCCCGGGTCAAAATCTCCATATTGAGTCTCGTTCAAGAGGCGAAGGGCATTCCGCTCCCTTTCCAGTTCCCGCTGATGCTCCCCATCTTGAGATACCAAGGGCGAACGGGACTGCGAGCTCAGGAGAAGATATAGCACGAACAAAAAGAAGAAAAAGGAGCCGCGGTGATCCATAGATGCCAAGGGGACGTAGGCATCGGAGTTTGAGGGGGGGAACTCCTGAAGATCAATAGAAATACTCAAGTCACTTTGTGTCGCATCGCCAATCTATGGCCAGAACAAGCGACACTCATCTAGAGCTGGTCATTAAGCTCTTGAGGAACCAGACAACGGGATAGTGATAATGATGATGGAAGATGGGAAGATGATGAAATGGGGAAGCGGGCGGAAGTCGATGATGCGCTGAGTGAGTCGAGGCCTGAGGCCCGCCCCATTTCACCCCCGCCTTTTCCGCCCGGCTTCACAACCGCCGGGCGACATTCTTCCCCTTCCCAATTGTCAGCCTCCCTGCTTCCCTGGAAGCTTGGTTTTCATCCCTCTCCGCGGTTGCGCCGTGTTGTTTTTCTCCCTTCCATTGAGTTCCGGTCGGTGTAACGCTGCCTACGAGGTGACCTGCGTATCCCTTCAGATCGATCGGCGCCGGCGCCCCATTCTTCAGCGACTGTCGTGATGGCGTCGAATCTCCCCATCCCTATTCCTCCGCGTACCCCGACTCCGCCCGCGGATGACGGCCCTACCAGCGCGTTCGAGCCATCCTCTACCCTTTACGACAAGGACTCGCTATCCCCATTGAGGGATACATTTACTCCCTCCAGGGGTACTTTAGATGTCAATGATCCCACTCGCCTGAGCCCGACGAGGGCTGCTTTCAACCTCAGTCCAGCCAGTGCTCGATCACCAGGCGATCAGAGCGACAATGTGTCGGCCGGCCCCTTCAATTTCCAGACAACCACTATGGCCAAGAGCCCCGTTGTCAAGTCTGTGAGTCTCCCACAATATAGTAAACAGTATGATTCATGGTCCTGATTGCCCTTGCCTATGTTAAATAGAATATCGGACAGCGGCGCGGACATAAGTACAAGCACAGTAGTATATCGCATCAGATCTTCCTCGAGCCACCACCTCGAGCCCCGCTAGCATTGCCCAACTCGTTACCTGTCCCTACGTTCAAGGAATACCGATCTAGTATGTCTAAGGACCAGACGACCCGTTTCTGGTGGAGCCTGTGTCATATGTCCGTCGCGGCATATACTCTGTGGAGCGCGCACGGCTCCCTGGCTATGACGGCGTTGTCGCATCTGATACTGTTCGACTCCATCGGAGCTCTCCTCTGCGTCGCGGTGGACATACTAGGCAATTTCGAGGTGTGGAAGCGGTCCAGCGTGCGCCACCCCTTCGGGCTCGAACGAGCCGAGGTGCTCGCCGGTTTCGCCATGTGTGTGCTCCTGCTCTTCATGGGTATGGACCTGATCTCGCACAATCTGCAGCATTTCCTCGAGTCCGCCGGCCACGAGCCGCACCATTCTCACGTGCACGAACGCGTGTCACTGGGACGAGTGGATTTCACGGCGCTGCTCGCCATCGTGTCTACGCTCGTCTCGGCGATTGGCCTCAAGAACCACGGCCGCATCGGCAAGGCGATGCGTTTTGGGTATATCGAATCGCTGCCGTCGGTTCTCAGCAACCCCTCCCACTTCCTGACGCTCTCCTGCTCGTCCCTCCTATTGTTGCTGCCGCTCGTCTCCATCAAGCTATACAAATGGCTCGACGTGCTTTTGTCTGGCACCATCTCCATCTCGATGTGCGTCATCGGCGTGCGCCTGGTCAAGACCCTGGGGTCGATGCTGCTGATGTCCTACTCGGGCCAGGGTGTCACGGACGTTATGCGCGACATCGAAACGGATCCCTGTGTGCGTGGGGTCGACGATGCCCGATTCTGGCAGGTGCACTACGGTCTGTGCATGGCGAATCTGAAGCTTCGCGTGTCCGGCCCGGAGGAGAATCTGGCGCGGCTGCGTGAGCGGATCACCAGTTTGATCAAGAATCGGCTGGGCGGGGGGTACGGGACGGGGGGACAGAAGTGGGAGGTGTCGTTGCAATTTGCAGTTGAGAAGGCGTGACATGTGTAATTGATATGATGTACATTATGGACTGGACATACTTCTTTTTCTTTACTGGAAATACAACCATTTTCGGTTAAGGTTATATACCGGGGGTGATTAAGTGTGCCTCCACTGGGACATAGTGAAACCAGAGCTCCAATGCTGAAAGACCAATGTGCATGAAACGTCTTCTTTCAATCCGCGTGATGAATCTACTATAGACCGCAGATGGACATGGATATAGAATAGGTCACACATTCCCAACCTGCACCCCTCAAACCACACGATAGCCACTTCCCTGCCTCCCATGCGAATGCTCACCATATAAGCCTCCCCATACTACACATCACCTATACCATCAACCCAAGACCATGACCATGAAAAGAACCCTTACACGACTCAACCCCCCTTCCCCTCGCCCAAGCAATATAAAAGAAACATGAATATAAAAGGCATAAAATTTATAACACGATAAAGGGAGAAAGACACCACACACAAGCATAAAGAACCCAATCCAGATATACACGACACAATCCACAACCCCCTCACGTTTCCCCCCACCCACACAGGAAGCAATCCATTTCCTTTACATTTTTCAATTTCTTTCTTCAAGCTCCGGAACAGCTCAAGCAGCAGCGGCCAAAACACTCTCCTCGACCCGGTTCAACGTGCCGTTCTCGCGATCATCCCTCCGCCGGCGCTTCTCGAGGATCTGCTCGCGGCGCTGGGCGAGTATGCGGAGCTGGCGCTCCTCGACGCCCTGCAGCCAATAGCCAAAGCTGCCGCCGACGCCGGCGAAGAGCGGGTAGACCCAGAGGGATTCGCGGGCGAGGATGGGCCGCATTTCGATGCCGAGTTGCCAGAGGCGGACGGCGATGCCTGCATTTTGAGGATTGAGTCAATTGATTGAATTCGGAGACGGCGGCTAGACGTAGTGCATCCCCGTCCAGTTGAGGGCTTTCAAGAGCTGTCTGCGTGGGGATAACATACCGAAACCACCCCAGAAGAGGACTTTGTGAACCATGATTTGCGAGGTAGATGTGGAGCGAGGAAAGGGAGGGCGGTAATCGGAATGGGCCGGTTTTTCAAGAATTGTATCTGCGCTGATTCAAGCGTAGAAATTTCCGGCACACAGAGGAGAAGAGACGTGGACCGCGGTCGAAAGTGACGTTGCGACTGAACTTGGGCTTGAATCCAACGGATACTGGATAGTGGAGGGACGCCGGGATTCATCGACGGAGGTTCAGTTGTTGCGTCGAATCACGGGGCCGCAGTTCCCAATCGGGGTGCGGGTGATCGGGCAAGGAATTTATCCGATTGCTGTTCTTTCCGCTCGGGGGAGAGACGAGACGGCCTGGCCCTTCAACAAAACGCGCCCGCTCCATGCGAGCGCAACTTTTTTTTGATTGCCTCCTTTTTCCCCATGTTTCATTGATGATTTGTCTTTCTTGATACTTAGGAACTTTTCTATTCAAGCACGGACTTACTTCCCGCTATCCAATCTAAGATCTGTCTCAGCTGCGCGCGCATCGGATACTCAGCCGACTCTCCGCGATGGCCGGTCCATTGGAGGAGACGGCAGATGTGTTGGCCCCAGCTGCTGGTGATGATGCCACCGCCGCTGCCGTCGCCGTCGCGGGCATGAAGCGACCACTGGACATTGACAGCCTCCAGCGCAAGAAGTTCAAAACCGATGAATTGCCCTTGACCGCTGCGCAACACGCCGCGATCGAGCATCTTCTACATGCATTCAAGAAGAGAGGTGGCTTCGATAATGTGCGCAAGAAGATATGGGCTGAGTTTGAGGAAGGGGTGCGTTTTTATTTTTCTCTTTCTTCTCCTCACTGTGGTTTCTGTTTGACTAATTCCGCGCCCCTCTGTGCGCGCTCATGTAGGAAGGCAAAGCGGAATTTACGAACCTCCTCGCCGAACTTGCGGAAGCGGAGATCGATCGCGAACCTGGACTGTTGTCGCGGGAGCGCGGAAAGGCCGCGACTCTTATCGAGGGCGCCGTCGATCGGAGCGACGTCTACAAGACGGTAGAGAAGTCGCTGGATGCGCTCGCTTCGAATCATCTACAGACGATTCTGGATTCTGTGCGGGAGATCCGCCGCGATGAAGTCGGCGTGGAGGCCGCTGCTGAGGAAGAGAAGGCAGGTAACAAGACTGACGAGGACTATGCGAACTACATACAGGCTAAGCGCGATGAGCGCGAGAGAGCTTACCAGGAAGCATTGCGGAAGGAGAAGGAAGCTGAGGAGGAGGAAGCGCGCAAGAAGGCGGAAGAGGACCGCAAGCGACGCGAGCTCGAACGCCAGAAGGAGGAAGAGGAACGGGCCAGACGCAGGGAGCGCGAGGAGCAACGCCGGGAAGAGCAGCGCAAGCTGGACGAGCAACGAGAGAAGGAGCGCCAGGAACGATACGAACGCCGCCGTCGGGAAGAGCGCGAGAGATTCCGCGATTGGCGGGATCGCAGTCGAACCAGAGACCGGGACTCAGACCGCGACCGAGACCGAGATCGTTTTCGCTTCCGTGATCGCTCCCCCGGCTACCGCTCCGAACGAGGCCATTCTCCCCGCCATCGCGAGACTCGGAAAGAGAAATCGCCGACACCCAAAGAACCCACACCGGCCCCTGTACCGCCTCCAGCCCCTGTTGACGAGAAGTCTCTGGAAGAGGCTGCGCTACAAATGCTGTTGAAGGAGGGAGAGGAGCTCGCTGCGAAAGCCCGACAGAAGCCCGAGTTCGATTTCGAGGAAGCTGAAGCGATTGAAAACGGACTCAAACCACCACCAAAGGGACCCAAAGCACCCGACTCAAGATACTCAAATACGCCCACGCCCGCGGGCAGTATCCCTACCGAAGGAGAGGCGGTGAAGCGGCGCGGCTCCGTAGATGACCGCGTACGGCCACGACGACGTGATGAGAGCCGCAGCCGCTCGAGAAAGAGGGGAGTTCCGCCCCGGGTCGAAGATGACCGCCGGAACCCGTCACAGGATGTGTCGAGTATGTCTCGCGGGCGCGACTCCGATGACCGAGCGCCTCCTCGAGACTATCGTGAAAATCGGTACGGTGACCGTAGCTACCGGCCCAGTCGTCGCAGCCGAAGCCGCTCGACCGTTCGAACCTTAGATCGTGATCGAGATCGAGGTCGAGATCAGGTAGCAGAGCGCCCGCGATACCGTGAGAAAAGCTCAGAGAGGGATCGGGATCGCGAAAGGAATCGTGATCACGACTATCGTCGAGATCGCAGTCGAGAAAGGGAACGGGATCGCAGAGACAGAGATCGCGACAGGGACCGTGACAGGGACCGTGAGAGAGAAAGAGACCGGGATAGAGCTCGCGATCGCGACGATTACCGCCGACGACACAGCTACTATTCTCGATCCCGCTCTCGTCCACGGTATCGATCTCGATCCCGCTCACGGTCTTTACACAGAAATCGGGATCGGGATCGGGATCGGGATCGGGAGCGTGATCGAGAGCGCGATAGGGATCGCGAAAGAGACCGTGACCGCGACCGGGACAAGGACAGGGATACCAGAGAAAAGAGGGACGCCAGGGATACGAGAGACGCCAGAGACACAAGAGACGCCCGGGACCGTGATCGAGATCGAGAAAGGGATCGAGATCGCGATCGCGATCGAGAGCGTGACCATGATCGTGATCGTGACCATGATCGTGATCGTGAGCGAGACAGGCATCGGGATCGTGATCGCGATCGCGATCGAGAGCGTGACCGCGATGGCAACGTCACCACCACCAAAACCCCTACCACGACCACCACCACCACCACCACCAAAACCCCCATGAACCCTCACACCACCGCTGCGATCAGCACCTCTACCACGACCACCACCAACGACCACCACCACCATAGCCGGGGACGCAATCCCGATCGCTCGCGAGATCGCCCGCCGCGCGAGGACGAGAAATCCGCCCGAGTGTCCGTCTCCTCCCGCCGACGCTCGCGCTCCCGCGCCCGCCGCTCGCGCAGCCGTCGCCGCTCCCCCAGCACCCTCGACATCGACCGCTATGTGCCCCCGACCAGCAACCGCAGCCGGTCCCCACGGCGCCGCGTGAGGTCCCCCGAACGGTCGACCGAGAAGGAGCGCGAGCGTGAGCGCGACGACCGTCCGCGCTTCGTGGAGATCGATCGCTATGTCCCCGGGGGTGGGGGTGGGGGTGGGGGTGGAAGCGCCGAGCAACAGCGCAGGCCCTCGGAGACGACCGAGTCCACGCCCGCAGCAGCACCAGCAGGAGCATCAGCAACAGCGTCCACATCCGCATCCGCAACAGCGGCAACGACTCCCCGCAAACCAGATCGGGAGACGGACGACCGGCGGCCGCTGCAGCCTCCGCTGGCCCCTCCTCCTGCTTCTGCTTCTCTTCCTCCCCCGCAGGGTCCCAGGCGGCAGAGCTCCGGCCGCAATCGGTGAGTCCCGTGCCTATCTGGGATCTGGGATTGGAAGGGTGGATCCTACCGCCTTCCATTGTAACTATATCTTGTATTTCACGTGGGCAATTTGCAATTTTCGTTCTTCGCATGGGTTGGCGTTGATAGGATGGATGGCATAGGGTTGGAGGGGGGAAACCAAAAGAAACAGAAGCTCGGGTTGGGTTGGGTTGGGTTGAGTACAATATGGGATTGCTGGGTAAATGAGCGGTGCATTGTCTTCATTTTACCTATTACCGGGGTATACGGGAGATACCTTATTCATTACTGATTCAGGATTTGATTTTATGATGGGTTGGGGGCAGAACTATGTTCTGTGAGAAATGAAACTATGTTTCGAATTCACATGGCTGAATAATGCAACCTCGAGCTCTGCAATGCTAGGGTACATAAGTACAAGAGATGTGAGAAGTATACAAACGCCAACTGGCTACTTTGTGAAGACATGAAGAAGAAAGAAGAGTTGGGTGGTGATTGAAGTCGAAGTGAAGCGGGCGAAGATCAAACAATGAGATAAGTAACTGCGACCAAACCAAGTTGGCGAAAGTGCCCTCACGTCACTGTACTCGCCTTCTCGACAGCCTCAGTAAAGCCGTCATTCTCGGCATGCCGTTTGTAGAAGTAGGCGGTTGAGCCGGTCCCGGTGGGACGCAGTTCGGGAGACAGGCGGTCGAGGATGGTCTGCTCGAGGGCCTTGATGGAGCGTTCGTTGTCGCCGAGTTTATTCCACACGGAGATGAGGTTGGAGTTGAAGCGCGCGGACGTGGAGACGCCGAGGACGTGGTCGTGTTCTGTTGGTTTTAGGGGTCTTTGGTTAGTATATTTATAACTTGCATACTGTAAAGTTGATGTTTACTCGGAAGTATATCTCAGAGCCGGGTTCTGGAGGCTGGGGGCTGGGGGCGGGGGAAAGCGGGGCAGCGGGAAAGGAGAAGGAGCAAGCAGCCAACAGAAAACATACCCTTCTCCAACACAGCCTGGAACTCATTCGCCATGCACAGGATCGCGATCTCGTGAAAGAACTCCTGCGCCTTGTTCTTGGGCACCCGGAAACGCCAGCACCCGCCGTTGCGGTTCTCCGGGTCCTCCCAGACGGGCCGCACGCCCTTGCGGAAGATGTGCACGGTGTCGCGCAGGCGCACCTTGTCCCACGGGTAGTTGTTGTAGACGCGGTAGAAAGTGGCGATGTCGGAGACGTCCTCGTGCAGGAGGTACAGGCGTGAGTCGTAGTCCTGGGCGGTGGCTTCCTTGGTTGCGTCCGTGTGCTTGTCGTACCAGACGGCCCAGTGGTACTGGAAGGGGAGGGGCCGCAGCTTGCCGAAGATGTTCTGGTGGAGGGATTTGCGGGTCGTCGCGGAGGAGGGGGAGGTCGCTGCGGGGTTAGATTCCGGCTTGATGATTTGCTGGACCTTGGTCATCTCCTCGAGAGGACTGGTGGTGTTGTTGATGGAGATGGGCATCTTGGGACTCTCTTGGTTGTTGTATTCGGATGATATAGATCGATCGATTTGTTCCACGTTGGGATCTAGGACGATAGGAGCTCCGTGGTAGAGGTGAGAGAGTCGGTGATCATGCCAATGCGCAACGTATGAAGGAGCGCTGGTAAATCAAGTAGCTGGCGCTGTATATGGGAGATATAATGAATCTCTTATACTTGGGGTCAGCTGGTTCTGAGGAAAGTCCGCACGGCCGGTATGAGCAGGGAGGACAATGAGAAGTATGAATGTGAGCTTGAATGAAAGAACAGCGGGTTTGGGGTCCAAGAATAGTGTTATTGGTACTGGCCAGCCGTGGCGAACAAAGAAGACATGGGATAAATTAAGAAACAGGGAAAGGTACTGACCCTGAAAGGGTAAGCAACAGTGAATCTATTCCGAGATCTGGCCAGCCAACGAGTGGGGATGATGATGGACATCAACAGTTCGTCGTAGAATAACCACAATTAGGAGCAATGAAGACCTCTGTCAGTGAAGAAGAGGAGGGAGATCAGTTCAAAAAGAGAAATAAAACAGAGAACCAAATGAGCAGTGAATAGATAACATCCCCTGAATGCGGGAGGGTGTAGTGGATTCAGCGCATGGATCAAGCAAAGCCAACCAGCCAGCCGGGAAATGTGAGTCTGAAGGAAGGGAAGTACGAAGGTAAGTCCAAGTAACTCCTCATAGAAGTAAGACAAACAAGAAAGACAGACTGTCGAATCGCCTGCAGGGCGATCAAGCCGCTCGGGAAAGAGGCCTTGGCGATTGGTGAGCGCATGCGCCCCTCTTGCTGCCATCATTGTGCAGCACAGCACTAGATTAGATTGCCTGTTGTTGTAGTTGTACTCCGTAGTTGTAGTTTAACTTACTAGGTTACGGGGCAGTTACAGTACTTACACTTACCTCCGTCTCCTCTCCCTCCTTCCCTCTTTTCTCCCTCCCCGCCCGCCCCCACTTCGGCGCCAATTCGATCGCCCGCAAGTTTCAGTCAATCATGAATTCATCCATTCGTCTTCTTTCCTCCTCTTAGGAAAAAAAAAAATTCACAACCACCACACCTCGAGCAAACCATCACAATGAGCGCGCCTTCCTCCAACTCTCCCCGCGACGATCCCGTCGCATCCTCCACTACAAACCCTGACAGTCAAACAAATTCAATCGCCGGCCCTCCCCACCATAGCGCCGCCGCCGCCGCCGACGATAGCGACGACTACACCTCCTCCTCCGGCCCCAGCGACAGCGAAGAAGAAGAAAGTGACAACGACGAGGAGGATGCCCCCGCGACCGCGACCCAGCCCCGCGCCCCGCGCCCCGCGCACAACCCCTCCTCTGCTGCCTCCGCGGACACCTCCATCCCCCGCATTCCAGCCCTCCCCAAACCCAACATCCACCGCATCCCGCAGACGCCCGACCTCCTCTCCCGGCTATCGGCCTTCCTGCCGCAGATGAAGACCGCCAACGAGCAGCTCGAGCGCGATATCGCCGCCGGCCGGGCGAAGGACATCCGGTTGGATGATGCGATGGATGAGGATGAGGATGGGGACGAAGACGAGGAAGAGGAGGATGGGAAGCGGTATATTGAGATGGTGGGTGTTCACATTCCTCTTACTCTGACACACAGGCGTCTTGTTTGAAGCTGCGGAGGGAATTTTTGGAAAGCTGACTTTCGCTGTGATTAGAACCTCGGACTCGGCGTGCTGGAAGAGAAACGGCCGGACGATGAGATCTCGACCGCCGCGCCACCGGGCAACGAGGAGACGGTGCTGGCTTCGCGGCCTAAGGACTCTGGGGTCTTGGATACCTTGATGGGTAATACGAATGCTGCGGCCGCGGCGGCGTCGAAGCCCACGATCGAGGAGTTGGAGAAGTGATTCCTATGTTTTCTATTTGTGGATCTCTGATTAAAAAAGGTTGGGAAAAGTTATCTGGGTAGAGATCGGGTCTTTTTTTTTGGTTTGCATGGCAAGAGGGCGTTTGGGGTCGGACGTTTTATCTTGCTACTTCGTGCGGGTTTCCAAGTGTCCTTGAATTGGACATTTTTTTTGGCTTGGCTTGGCTTTTTCATCAAGCGGGTGGAGGCATGCTCTCGTGTTGACCTCCACAATTACGTTTATAGACTATTTTTGTTTGGACTAAACAATACTACGACCGAGTCTCAAAATAATATCAAAATATTAAACAATCATGCCGAAGAAAAAGTCTGATACATGAACCATATACAGAAGTCCCAAGTCTACTCTGTTTAAAAGAGGTAAGAAAAAAGTAAAGGCAAAAGAAAAATGTGATATTGATTAATTATACAGACCGCATCACTATCGTCCATTAGGACACCTCCTTGACTCGGCATGTCCAGCCAGACTCCTGGCTCAGGAGAGGCAAACTGCAAGAAGAAGTTAGCAAATATCCATGAACGTTAGATCAGGTCGAATGGCTTACCTAGCGCCCAAGCACCAACCAAGCTCGTTGTTCTTGATCTTCTTGGCGATCTTGACCTCGCGAGACAGTGGCATCTCGTAACCCGTGTGAAGCAAACCCAGCATGAAGTTCAGATCCAAGCACCATTCAGGGCGGTCGAGGAGCTGAGGAATAGCGTCATCGATTCCCTCAAAGATCTTCCACTCCGGCTTACCGGCGCAGACGGTCGAGGTGAGGTGATGCAGCTCGTCCAGAGTGAAAGAATCCGGCATGCCCAAGGGCTTGGTCCGATCATAGAAGTAGGAGAAGACATAGACATCTTCCCGAGCGAACGTCTTGGCCAGAGAGGGCTGGTGCACTCCGTTGAACGAGCAGGGGGCCAGCTTGCAGTCGGCTTCCTTCTTGAGAATCTTCTCGGTCAGACCCCGACATTGAGGTGCAGCCGAGGATCCTTCCTTCGGACCCACCATCTTGACGCTAACCTTGGGAGCGAGAGCGTGGCCGGCATCGAAAGACAAGTCAACCTTGCGCTCCATACCAGGCCCAATGCAAGGGTTCGAGATAGGCTGATCCAGCCAGGCCAAGTCAGTGGGGCTGGCGGCAAGCTTGGCCTCGACGATGGCCTTGTGCACCGCTTCCCGCGCAGCCATGAGTCCGTAGCCCAAGTGAGAGTGCTGGTACAACTCAAAGTGCCGACCACCAAACTCAAGATCATACCGGTGGTCACCCTCGGCCAGATGCTCGGGCATGCCGCCAGACGGGCTCTTGGGGTAGGTGGGCTGGAAGACAATTTGAGTAGAACCACCGCCGAGGTCGAAGATGGCAGCAGTAGGGGTCTCGTCCGGTCCGCCAATTTTGCCAAGAAGGTAATTGGTGGTAATCCAGGCGTAAACACCTTCATCCGAGCCATCCATGATTTCGACACCACCCTTCTCCCGCGACACGACAGGGAAGGGGTACACGGTCTCGAGACGGGTCCTGACGGCCTCAAGGATCTTCATACTCATCTCATTGCCAAGCATGCGCAAGCCCGCAGTGGCCTTGACAGCAATGGGTGAGCATGACCTGTACTCCTCAGGCACCGACTTAAGGGCCACCTGCATGAGAGGATCCAAACTCTTCGCCGCTCCCTCAGCATCCTCCTTATAAGAGCTCAAGCCGGAGCCGCCTTGCCTCTTCTCCGTCTGCTCAAAGACCTCGTTCTCGAGCTCGGGGGTGGGGCCGCAGTTGTTGAAGCGGTAGACGTGAATCCGGGAGCCCTGGCTACCGGCATCGATCATGAGCGCATACTGGATCAGGGGCTTGGAAGAGTCGTATGGCTTGGTGCACTTCTCAGTCAAAGAGGGTGCGCCAGTCGATGGCTTCTCTACAACAGGTGAGTCAGTCTCAATAGAATTTCCGGATGCGGACAAAGTGACTAACGGGATCCTCCAAAATGGCTCACGGAGGGCTTGGAGGGCGAAAGCCATAGAAGCATTAATAGAACGAAGCCAACAACCGCTCCGGTCTTCAAATAACGAGCTCTTTGCGTCTGAGCCATGGCGAACATTGAAAAAGTGTTGCTTGGTTTAGAATCGGCCAGATAATTCAGATTGTCGGAAACTTTTGCGGGGGTGGAAGTGCGCGAAATCGAACGTCGACTAGTTCTAGAACCCGGTTTAGAGAAAGACGGTAAACCCTTGAGATGTCGGCTGTCAACTCCAGTCGACATGCGGACAAAGCCAGGGGGACGAAGCTATGGCGTTTCGGACAACGTTCCTGAACTCCGACCGAGTTGGACGAGAAGTAAAGATGGAAGTTAGCGGTCGGAGTGAATAGAAACCATAGGATCGCCCTAAGAACCTCTGGTCCAGCCCAAAAGGATCGTGGATAGGGTGAAAGGGGGAGGGAGGGACGTCGAACAACGAAGGGAAGGTATGAAAGTGATGGTCTTCAGGAGAAGAGGAAGAGGAGAAAAGAAAGAAAGTAAGAGGAGAGACGGGAGGGCGGAGGTCGGGAAGAGAGAGGGACGGTACGGGAGGTGGACTATGGGACACGGGGAGGCAAATGAGAGCGCGGGCGATCAACCTCTCGGCCGCTCAGCCTCTCAGCTTTCAGGGTCTATCTCTGGTCTCCGCCCATTGTGGCGCCTGTCATTGTGGCTGGTGGGCGGTCAACCTCAACCTCCCTCCTCTCTTCCTGTCACTTTGTCCGCATGCGTCCATTCTCATATCCCAAATTGTCATTATTATTGTCATTCACTTGCAGCCTGCTACGGCCCCTTTATCTTACAGGACGATTGAGCTGGTCTTTATTCTTCTGCAGCTCTTTGGCTCCATTCATTCGGGTTCATCCGATCACAACGTTGCGCTCGTCCATACTCCTGCAACACTCCTGCGCCGAAAAATGAAGCACATGCGCAGCCTCCTCTCGACGGCGCAAGTCCTGCGCCAGGTCTTCTTCCCGCCTCAACGCCTCATCCGACCGCAGTACCTCCGGCCTCTACCCATGGGCGTTCGAACAATGAAATGGAACCGTAAAGATTCCCAAAAAACAGAATCGAAGGAGGCAAGACTCATCAAAGACGAGGCCATTATATCGGAATGGATTCAGATGGTGAACGAGAACAACACTTTGGACCCCCCAATTCGACGCTCGACTGTCCTCAATAACATCGACCGCTCTAAAGAGTTTTTGATCAAGGTCAGCGACGGAGCGGATGGCGCGCCCCCGGTTTGCAAGGTTGTGAACAAAATGGATCTGCGGGAGGCCGAGCGTGCCAGAGCCAAGGCAGCCCACGTCACCAAGACCTCCTTCAAACAGGTGGAATTGAACTGGGCTATCGACAACCATGATCTTAGCCACCGCCTGAAGAAGATCACCGAATTCATCACCAAAGGCTTCAAGTTGGAGGTTGTCTTGATGCGGAAGAAGGGCAAACGAGCCCCCACGGCGGAGGAAGTCAAAAACCTCATGGACAAAGTGGTGGACACGATCAAGGAGGCCAATGGCATGCAAATCAAACCCATGGAGGGAGAGCCAGGGCGGGCAGTTACCATTACTGTGAGGAAGAAGCCCGACCAGTAGCCTGTTGACGCAGCTACCCCGGTAGAGAAGGTCACACTTGTGTAAATCGGCCAGTATATACAATTGTATTATATGAATCTTTTTCCTTACAAGAACGCAAGCTAGGCTTTGCACCTAGGAATTGTACAAGCGCTATTCACATGGTACTCAGTACTCTCAGAATGCTGTCAGGTGTATCTAACTTACTGTATGCTTCCAAGTTATTTGCGGGATGTTCCTGGCCGACTCCGCAATGCTGCGAGCATGATTGGCCTGAGGCTGAGTCAGCCGCTCCCTAGAATTTTCCGGGCTTGATTAAGGTCCTCCTCCAAACCTTCCCGGTCCGGCTGGTTTTGATTTCTGTCCATCGCGTTCCATTTGGTTTTCCTTCCTGTTGTTGTTTTTCCATCGCAGGTAGCCATCATGTCGAGCCTTGCCAGAACTGCCAACCTCTTGCTGCGCTCCAGCCGGGCGTCTTTGTTGCGTCCCCGTGCTGTCAACCCCATCCAGCATGTCTTTGCCAAAGACAAGCTGGCTGCCCGCGGTCTGGCAACTGCTTTCGAGCGTACCAAGCCTCACGTCAACATCGGTATGCTCTCTCCATCAGATTCATTGATCTTTCGTGCTTTCATACTAATCGATATTCAACAGGTACCATTGGTCACGTCGATCACGGCAAGGTTAGCACAATCTTTCTCTCCCATCACCCTTCCCTCTCCTCAATCTGGCCCCGAAAACTTCTCACACTCCGAACCAGACCACTTTGAGTGCTGCCATCACCAAGCAGCAGGCCACCAAGGGTCTTGCTAGCTTCCTCGATTATGGCTCTATCGATAAGGCCCCTGAGGAGCGCAAGCGTGGTATCACCATCTCCTCTGCCCACATCGAGTACGCCACGGAAGCTCGCCACTACTCCCACGTCGACTGTCCCGGTCACGCCGATTACATCAAGAACATGATCACTGGTGCTGCCAACATGGACGGTGCCATTGTTGTCGTTGCTGCTTCCGATGGTCAGATGTATGTTTGCCCTTCTGTTTTTGGTCATGGAATTGTACTCATACTCGTTTCTCTGCAGGCCCCAGACCCGTGAGCACTTGCTGCTCGCCCGTCAGGTCGGTGTCCAGAAGATTGTCGTCTTCGTCAACAAGGTCGATGCTGTCGATGACCCGGAGATGTTGGAGCTCGTTGAGTTGGAAATGCGCGAGCTTCTCACCACCTACGGTTTCGAGGGCGAGGAGACTCCCATCATCTTCGGCTCTGCCCTCTGCGCCATCGAGGACCGTCGCCCTGACATTGGTGCCGAGAGAATCGACCAGCTTCTCGAGGCCGTCGACACCTGGATCCCCACTCCCCAGCGTGACCTTGACAAGCCTTTCTTGATGTCCGTTGAGGAAGTCTTCTCCATCCCCGGTCGTGGTACTGTCGTTTCCGGCCGTGTCGAGCGTGGCCTTCTGAAGAAGGATAGTGAAGTCGAGATCGTCGGTACCACCAACGAGGTCATCAAGACCAAGGTTACCGACATTGAGACCTTCAAGAAGTCCTGCGACGAGTCCCGCGCTGGTGACAACTCCGGTCTCCTTCTCCGTGGTATCCGCCGTGAGGATATCAAGCGTGGTATGGTCGTTACTGCTCCCGGCAGCGCCCGTGCCCACGACAAGTTCATGGTCTCCATGTACGTCCTGACCGAGGCTGAGGGTGGTCGTCGCAGTGGATTTGGTGTTCAGTACCGCCCCCAGCTGTACATCCGTACTGCCGATGAGGCTGCCGAGTTCAGCTTCCCCGACGGTGACCAGACCCGCCGCATCATGCCCGGTGACAACGTTGAGGTCGTCGTCAAGACCCTCCGTCCCCTGGCTGCTGAGGCCGGTCAGCGCTTCAACGTCCGTGAGGGTGGCCGCACTGTCGCCACTGGTCTGGTTACCCGTGTGTTGGACAAATAGACAGCTGGGACCGACTGGCTACCATGTACTATGAACAAAATCTTGTCTGGGAATTCTTATAATGTTTGCACCATCCTTGCGGCGCGGGTATCAGCGAAGGAATGAATCTGGGAATACTGGATTCACTCGTGATGGTGGGTAGTTCCGGAGTTTTCGAGACATATCTATGTATCATGTATTGTATTTGAATTGTTTGTAGACTCGTTATACCTTCTCCTCTCTTTCATTCTTTTCTTTCTCTACTTTTTTTTTTTTTTTTTGCCTAGGGATGTCAGTTTGAACATGACGTTGAACATGTAAAGGAATGATTTATCGTACGATCCAGAATTATGAAGGCACGGGCATGAAAATGTGGGCTCCACCTCCTCGTCTTCCATAAATTGGGTCGGACAGGATCACTGACAACCCCTAAACCCAAAGCAGCAAAAACCGGGATCGGGGGGTGGGCGGTGGCGGCCTGGATGCTCAGGCGACGAGTCCACTAGACAAGACAACCGACCAAACAAGAAGAGGGAAAGGGTCCCCATCCGGCTCTCTCCTCCTGACCTCCAGCCACTCTACGCTTCCCGCTTCCCAACAACACATGAACTAAACTCCCTCCCTCTCTGATCAGCGGGGCGTTCTCTCTTTTTCTCTTGCCTTGTGATTGTGCTCCCCGTCTCCCATGGTGATCGACTTCTGACCTCATTTTCCTGTCGGTTCCCTCCTTGCATCCTGCCCTCAATCCGTTTCGTCTCATCTTGTACTACTACTTCCTCCTCTCGCCACGGTCTCCGCATCTGACGTTCCCTATTCTATTTGCGCTTCTGGTAGTAGTGCTTTACTACGACTCGCCATACTATCACCCATACTCCTCGAAACAAACAGTCATACATCAGACTAGAGCCCGCTTCAGTTTTATCGTCTGGCGCGCCGCACCAACGCTAGTCATTCCGTCATGGCGACCAACGGCCATTTTGCCTCGCTTGGCAACGGCAGCAGCGACAAGACTGCATACGAGCATGGCGTGCAAGTGATTGACGGCGATAAAGAGTTCAAGTATGCTATTCCATTCTTCCCCTAGTGCCTTCCTGGGTGGCAATCTGTGGTTCGATCCCACGTACACCTGGGCTTGCGATTTCCAAGCTGTTCTCGTCAGGGGACGATGCCACCTGGCGTGCACCTGGCGCATTAGGCTAACCCCAGAATCATTGCAGTCCCAATCTATCGAAATACCTAAATCTTGAAGATGTCACCCATGCGGGTTTTAACTATCACCTCATTTCCGTGTTCGGGTCCCAGTCGACGGGCAAGTCCACGCTACTGAACCACCTCTTCGGTACGCATTTCTCGGTCATGTCCGAGCTGGAGCGTCGCCAGACGACCAAGGGTATTTGGTTGTCGAAGAACAAGAACGGCGGGGACAAGTCGATGGCGGATAACATCCTGGTGATGGACGTCGAGGGTACAGATGGTCGCGAGAGAGGCGAAGACCAGGACTTCGAGCGCAAGAGCGCCCTCTTTGCGCTGGCGACCAGTGAAGTCTTGATTGTCAATATCTGGGAGCACCAGGTCGGTCTGTACCAGGGCGCGAACATGGGACTGCTGAAGACGGTCTTTGAGGTCAATTTGCAGCTGTTCTTGAAGGATCGCAAGTAGGTTTCCTTTGTTGGAACCAGGTTACCGTTACACGCGCTAACTGCCCTTCGTTTGATATAGCACTACTCACCGATCTCTCTTGTTCTTTGTGATCCGTGATTTCGTTGGCAATACGCCCCTGAAGAACCTGCAGAATACTTTGATGGAAGATATGTCGCGACTGTGGGACTCGATCTCGAAGCCCGCCGGCTTGGAGCAGTCGTCCGTCCACGATTACTTCGATTTCCAGTTTTACGGCCTTCCTCACAAGAGTTACCAGCCTGAGCAGTTTGTTGCCGAGACCAAGAAGCTCAGCTTGCGTTTCCGTGAGGACCACAAAGATCCGAGTCTCGATCCCCGCAAAGGCGAGTTTTCCGATGGTGGCGTCTTCCTACCCGAGTACCACCGCAGAATCCCCGCCGATGGTTTCTCTAAGTATGCGGAGGGCATCTGGGACCAGATTATCAACAATAAGGATTTGGACCTTCCAACCCAGCAGGAATTGTTAGCGCAATTCCGCTGCGACGAAATCCTTCGAGAGGTTATGCTCGCCTTCGACGAGGCTATTGTTCCCTTTGAGGATAAGCAGTCGCAGGCGGCTCGTCTCGGTGAGCCGGAGATTCTCGGTGGTTTGGGAGCCGCCATGCGCACCTCTCGCAGTAAAGCGTTCAGCAGTTTCGAGACCGAAGCCAGCCGCTACCACAAGGGTGTTTACCTGCGCAAACAGGCAGAGTTGGAGGAAAAGATTGACACTCGCCTCAAGGCGCTCTTCCAGGGTCAACTTGATGCCATGCACAAGACTGGTATCAATGAGTTCACTGAGGCTGTCTCCGGCACTGTCAAGGCGGGTCAGAAGAAGGGTACTGGCTATGATTTCGCAGAGATTGTCAATGAAGAGGTGTCTAAGGCAATTCAGAAGTTTGAGGAGGTCGCGCGCGCCACTGTCGTTGAGGGAACTGCCTGGAGCGATTACCAGCAACAGCTGTCGCTGTATGAGAAAGAGCTGGCCGACGTCAGCGCACGGTTGCGGCGGGAGGAGATGCGGCGGCTGGCCAGTCGAGTTGAGCGGTGGGTCCAGTCTCGTCTGGGAGAGTCGGTTGGTCTGGAATTCAATGCGCTTGGTTCTGGACGCGCCGGCGGCGGTGCACCTGAAGAGGGGGACAAGCCTGTTGAGAAGAAGTTCTGGGACCGGGTCTGGAATGTGTTTGTTGAGACGGTCCTTGATGCCGAGCGCAGATTTACCGACCGCGCTAGTAGCTTTGATGCCAGTTTGGAGGAGGTTGATGTTGGTCTTTGGCGGCTGCGCCGGAAGTCCTGGGGCGTGCTACGGGCCAAGATTGAAGAAGAAATGTTGGAGGGCAACTTGCTGCTGAAGCTGCGCGAGAACTTCGAGGACAAATTCCGCTATGACGAAGCTGGTGTCCCCCGGATCTGGCGCCCTACCGACGACATTGAGGGCATCTATACGCGGGCTCGCGAGTCGACTCTCACGCTTATTCCCCTTCTAGCCCGGTTCCGTCTCGAGGAGACGTCCGCCCCGCCTCCGTTGGATCGCTGGATCGGTCACACTCCCAGCTCTTCGACCCCGGCGGACGAGGAGGACTTGCCGCCGATTGGAGGCGTGGATGAGGAGGAAGGCAAGAGCCTAGAGGAGGAAATGACGATGCTTAGCGAGGCCAAGCGCCAAGAATTGACGGTGCGGTTCAAGAAGGCGGCGGATGGAGTCTATGTCGAAGCCAAGCGGAGTGCCATCGGGGGCATGACGCAGGTTCCGCTGTATTTCTACGGTATCCTCCTCGCGCTCGGCTGGAACGAGATCATTGCTGGTAAGTGCAATTTCTGTGTTGCGTACGAAAGATCATCGCTAATTAGCCACAGTGCTTCGCAACCCCGCCTACTTTTTCCTGCTGTTTGTTTGCGCAGTGGGCGCATATGTGACTTATCAGCTTAATTTGTGGGGCCCCATCATGAAGATGACGGAGGCGGCCTCGAACCAAGCCATGGTGGAGGGCAAGAGACGCCTGCGCGAGTTCCTGGAGTCGTCCGACACAGGCCGTCAGGCAATTGCTATGTCGACGCCGGGCGGTGCTGGGCGAGGTGAGCAGCACGAGATGTCCCGTCTCAACAAGCAAGGACAGAGTGTGCAAGAGGATGAAGATGACTTGTGAGAGGGAGGGGATTATTTCAGTTGCATTCTTGTATTCCATTATTGTGTATTGTCATTGTCTGAATAGATATTATATCACAGCCTTGAAGAGCTGTTTATGTACTCACTGTACACCGCACAGTCCATGTTTAGAGCTTGGCTCTCGCCCGGACTTAGTCCGATTCCCCGCCTTTCTCAATAACGCCCCCTCATTTAATTCTCAAGTCTCCGCACTTTTTCGGATTGTAAACTACTTCCCTGTTGGTATACCATCTGCTACCTCAAACCTTGGATGACCTTCTATGATCTATGATGTCGGAATTCAACATCCCAGAGAAATACGATGACCTGCCGGACAAGCGACGATACTGGCCGGCGGCGCCGGGGTCGCGCGAAGAGGGACTGGGCATGCTACGACTATTGACTCCAGAGGTCGTCGCCAATGCTGCCCAAACGCAAATCAGGACTGGCGAACGCGTGTGTCTGAATTGGGATCTCGAGAAGCTGAATCCTCCGGGTTAGTGTCTGGCTCGTGGAGTTGAAACCCAGAATTAATCACCTTACTATCTGTTTACGCCGCGTACTAACTACGTCATCGCATGGCCCACAGGCTTCAAGCGTAAGCCCTTCGAACACAAAGTGAAGTGGGTGGCGGAGGGCGTTGCCTTTGACGACGAATATCACTTCAACCCACAGCAATCCTCACAATGGGACGGACTGCGTCACCATAGTGCGCCGCCGCCGCCGGCTGACACAGAGGAGGACAGCAGTAGTCGCACAACATCAACCACCACCACCACGACCGGCAGGGCGAACGAACAGGTGTTCTACGGTGGCACAACGGCGGCCGAGATCCTGGACCCCAAGTCCGCGCGCATCGGCATCGGCCACTGGGCGAAGGAGGGGATCGCGGGCCGCGGGGTGCTGATCGACTACTGCAGCTGGGCGCGGGAGCAGCGCGGGGTGACGGTGGACGCGCTCAGCCGGCACGAGATCTCGCTGGACGAGGTGCAGGCGATCGCGCGGGACTGCGGCATCGAGTTCCAGCGCGGGGACATCTTCTTCCTGCGCGTGGGCCTGCCGGCCACGTGGGACGCGATGGGCGACGAGCAGAGGGCGGCGTACAGCCGGCAGCCGACGCCGCAGCATGCGGGGCTCGAGCAGAGCGAGCGCGTGCTGCGCTTCCTCTGGGACCACCACTTCGCCGCCGTCGCGTCCGACGCGGTCAGCTTCGAGGTCTACCCGCCGCTCCGGCCGGAGTGGGACCTCCATCACTACCTCCTGGCCGGGTGGGGGTTGCCCATCGGCGAGATGTTCGACCTCGATGGGCTCGCCGAGATGTGTCGGCGGCTCGGGCGGTGGACCTTCTTTGTCTCGAGTAGTCCGTTGAATTGTGCGCAGGGTGTGTCGAGTCCGCCGAATTGTATGGCTATTTTTTGAGTGGGGAGGTTGGATTCTAGGTTGGATTTGAGGTTGAGGTTGAGGTTGAGGTTGAAGCTGAAGCTGAAACTCTTAAGGTTTATGGTTATAACTTATGGGTTGGTTGATGGTGGATGGATGGTTGGATGAGATAAGCACAATCAAACCTCCACGTGCCTCGGCTTAACACGTTATCTCCATCGCGTCTCATTTTTGGGAATCGCATCTCTCAGGGGAACGAGCACCTGTCTTTTTTCGCGGCAGCAGGGTTTCGACTGTCATTCTTTCTCTTCACACAGGCGGCATTGTCGTTAGGTTTGTCTGTCTTTCTGAGACGCCTTGACGCTAGCTTGTTTTGCCCATTGATGGTACCTGGGATCTATAGCATAGCTAGTAGCTAGCTAGCGATAATCGACTACCGTCAACATGGCTTCCCTGTCCACTCTTTCCCACCTCCTCCAGGAATGCATCTCATCTCTTCTCACCTGGAAAGCACTAGCCCTGTTCCTCGCACTGATCAATTTAAAGAATCTTCCTCTGGTCTGGCATGTAAGTGCATGCACTCTTTCCCCCTCATCCTCGCAGCGCAGCGCAGTCTACAAACAACATCGCCTTCAATCAACCAACCACCCCACCACAACAACCTCTCCATTACCCTCACAAAAGAAAACCAGCATACTAACCCCAACCTCGTATAAAACAGGCCCGCCTCGCCCACCACCTCTACCGCAACATCCGGCGCACCCCGCAAGACCCGCACCACCCAGCCTCCACGCACCCGCCGCCGCACGCGACGCACCCGATCTTCCTCCCGCTGACCATCAGCTCGCGCACCCCGATCCTGGAAACCGACTACAACTTCCACAAGTCCAACAGCACCTACTTCTCCGACCTGGACATCGCGCGCACCGCCCTGGCCACCCGCATCTTCACCCCGGGGTCGCGCATCGTGAACCGCGCCCTCGACGCCGAAGCCGCGGCGGCGTCTTCAGCATCAGCCTCAGCATCATTCGGTGGGAAGGAGAAGAAGCAGCCCCCCAAAGGCGGAAGCAAACTCGGGCTGTACATCGCCCTGGGCAGCGTGTTCTGCAGCTTCAAGCGCGAGATCAAGCCCTTCGAGCGCTATGAGATTACCTCGAGGGTGATCGGTTGGGATGAGAAGTGGGTGTATATGATTAGTTATTTTGTGAGGCCCCAGGCCGGAAAGAAGGGGAGGTTGTTGGCTACCGCGCTGAGTAAGTATGTGGTTAAGAAGGGACGGGTGACGGTGCCCCCTGAGAGGGTGCTGAGGGCGAGTGGGTTCTTGCCGGAGAGGCCGGTGGGGTCGGTGGGTTCTGGGAGCTTGACGCCGGGGGAGAGTGGGAGTGGGAGTGGGAGTGAGGAGGGGCAGTTGGATGAGGGGATTACGGCCACGGCCACGGGGGTGGATGCGGCGGTCGTGAGGGAGGTGTTGCTGGATGCTGGGGATGGTGATGAAGCGGCGAAGGAGGAGCAGAGGGTGAGGAATGTTCATTCGTGGAATGAGGAGGATTGGCCGTGGGAGAGGATCGAGGAGGAGAGGTTGCGTGGGTTGAAGGTTGTGGAGGGGTATGCTGGGTTGGATGCGAAGTTGTTTGAGGAGTGGGGTGGGGAGTGAGTGGTTGCTTGCATAGAGTTAGACTTAGATTTCGGGCTTTCTTTCATGGGATTCGATGTAGAATGTATGATTTCGGCTTGGCTGGGGGTGATGGTTGGTCTCGATATTGTAGTTCGCTGCATTAGTTGTTGCACAAGAAGGGATGCTGTCGCTGGCAATGAACGTCTACGGGCTCAAGGAAAGTATATAGATAATCACTGTATTCTTTCTGCAGGCGTGCGAGGCTTATAGAACTTCAACTCAAGCAAGCGATAGCCAAAACGGATCACCTCCAGCAAATCTGTCCGTTAGCAAGTTCGACGCAATACACTCCCCCATCGGAGTGGAATTGTTTCTCATGACTCCATTGTCCAGACTAATTCTGGCTCCACAACAGAACTGCGCTTGTCAACCGTCTTCATGATTGCCGGCCACAAAGACCATCGAACTATAGAGGCTGGTTCCTCATCGCCTCCACCAAAAATCATCGACTGAGGGTCAAACATCACTCCCAGTGGACTGCAGCAGAAGAAAAACCGATGTTTCTGCTGGCTCAAAGCATGCCTGAGATCCGCGCATTTCCACAGCAGTCCTTGAAGCTGGCCCTGTCTTTGTTCTTCTTGAGGGGAAGAAAAATCCGCGAGTATTTTTTTAGTGTCCCGGACGATGCGGCTGATCACACGCTCGCATCGACGACCTGAGCCCGCCTGGATTGCCACGCTTGTAGCCATCCTCCACACATTGAGCTCGATCTCTGAACCTGCTGAGACTTAGTACTGACCCATATATGTCAAGACTTCCAGTCGCAAGATACGTACAGTTGTCTCGGACGTTGAGTTCTATCTTAGACAGAAAATCTCCCAGAGGGTTTTGAGGCAACCAGAAGTGGTAGGGTTCAAATATCTCAGCATGGATAAGATTGGCGACAGTGGCATGAACCCAGGCCCGTCGCTGGGGCGCATGGAGCTGCCCGTCTGCCTCAATCGATTCTGGTGTTATCTTTGTCACATCTTTGAAGTTGACTTTGACCCAGTTGTCGAGGAGTTGATTCAGCCGGCGCATCTGATTCACGATCAGATCATCTCCCAATGACTTGAACGGGCCAGTCTGCAGAGCATTCAGCTTGGAGTACAAGCGATCGAGCTCTTCCCGGTGACGTCCGTCCCTCTCCGTCGCTTCCTCACGTGCCTGCAATAACAGGCGTTCTTGTTGCTGGATTATCTCTCGGTCTGCCAACCGCTGCCTGACTAGAGCTTGGTAGCGCTCTTGCCAGACTTGTTCTCTCCTCTCTTTCTCTTCCTCTTCCTTCCGCGCCGCTGCTTCTTGCTTCGCCAGCTGCACTGCTGTGCTTATCTGATGCATGGAATCGGCTTTCTGCTTGGCTATCATTCGCCGCTTGACATCCTCCTCTGAGAGCCAGAAAGGAAAGCGTGTTATATTCTGAACTTCGCTTAGCGTGGTGACGGAGCAGGCGGATGGTTTGAACATCACTCACCGGATGCGCTGGCGCCGTTTCATCGCCCAATTCCTCGACTGGCTTTGATTCTGCCAGCATTTGATTCATCACACATGTGTCTTCTGGCTTGGTTGCCGGATCTGGTACTGGCCCACCACTTGAAAGAAGAAACTGGAACATTGTTTCTGTAGAGGGTGGGTGTGCTACACTTGGGTTTTGCTATGAGGAAGGTTGAGAGTGGCAGGAGGAGTCTCTGGAATGGCCATCACAGAATTTTCGACTCACCAACTCCAGCAAATCCGCCAACTGACGCAATCCGCGCGTATCATAGTATATCAGAGGATGTGATCCTCTTGTCATGCTTGCGACTGCTCTCGGAACGGATCGCTACAGCCTTCATCATGCCTATAAGAAATACAGGCCTTTTTGTGTCTAGTCATTCTCTTCTTCCCACCTCCAGCTCAAGCTTTCACTTGTTCCTATATCCACTTACCCGAAATACAGCAGCAAGATGGCGCAAGGACCTTCGATTGTCGTTGGGCTGGATTTCGGGACAACCTTCAGCGGGTGAGTATAACACATGCATGGAACCCTCCTATAGTATGCATTCTTACGTGGAGGGTAGGATTGCTTGGGCTTTCAAAGGATCAGCCGATGACATCGAGGTGTTGTCCACCTGGCCTGGTGGAGGCAACAGTACGTCAACCCCCGCAGCTGTATCAACCGAGAGACTATGCTAAGAGCTCAAAAAGGAACCTCAATGAAAGTACCCTCAACCATATCCTATGGAGCTCGAACCACCCGCTGGGGCTATCAAGTTGGCCCATTCATGGAAGCCTTCAGAGGCCTCAAGCTCCTTCTCGATGAGGAACAGGAGACAACCTACCCACCGTCCCTCTGCTCGAAGAAATTGCTCGCTATTCTTGACAAGGATGCCGTCCATGTGACAGCGGACTACTTGAGATACCTTGTCGGATACGCCCAGGGCGTCCTGGAGCGTCGTCTGGGGATAGCTGCGAGTGCTATGAATCTCCGTTACATTCTCACTGTACCAGCTGTTTGGTCTGACAAGGCCAAAAATTGCACCTTGCGCGCCGCTCTGAAGGCAGGAATCTCCCCTCAGGACGTCTCGCTCGTGTCGGAGCCCGAGGCTGCTGCCCTTTACTCATTACGCACCATCCAAGCTAACTAGATTGCTGTATGCTGCATTCCAGGCGAGTGTGACTATAACGTGACGACTGACGGTCTACAGAAAAATGATATGTTTGTTGTTTGTGATGCCGGCGGTGGCACAGTGGTGAGTTTATTTGAAGCATTAACTCCGCCACAGCGATGGCTAATCATGTACTAGGATCTTATCTCATACCAGATTCGAGCTTTGAAACCGCTTGCCGTGAGGGAGATTGTAAAGGGAGCAGGTAAGCCGAGTCTTCACTAAGTGACGTTACAGTGGCATCTGATAATTTCTAGGCCGTATCTGCGGGTCGACGTTATTGGATGAAAGCTTCGAAAGGATGCTCGAGGAAAGACTGGGACCCACAGGTTACGCTGCATTATCCGATAAAGCAAAGGACGCTGCATTACACTATTGGCAAGATCGAGTCAAGCCCAACTTCGCAGGGAAGTACGACGAGGACTTCGAAGACGTTGACTATTTTATTCCAGTTCCAGGAGCGCTTGATGATCGCCTAGCATCGATTGAAGATGGGTTTCTTTATCTTACCAGGTCTGTGGATATACCATAAACCTGGCTCAAAAGAGCGACATTGAAACATGTTTTGACCGGTCTTAGTGACGATGTAACAAGTATTTTTGAACCCATTGTCAAAGAGGTGGAATCTCTTGTTGCAGAACAGATTGAGGGCATTAAAGAGAAGAAACTCTACCCAAAGGTTATCGAGGTCTCGGCAACAAAATGACTTAAGGTAGTGCTGACAATTTCTCCATCAGCGATCATCCTTGTTGGGGGTTTTGGTGCCTCTATGTTCCTTTTCCATCGCTTACAAGAAGCCAACCCTAGTGTGCTTGTAATGCAGCCACCTGACGCGTAAGTCTATCCACACTTCCGGAAGGACAATGGCTAACTCGGTGACACAGATGGTCAGCAGTAGTATGGTTCGTTTTTCCTTCTCTATATTCAGCCAGGGTCGCAAGCTGATGGCCATATAGCGGTGCTGTACATCGAGGACTCGACGGTAACCAGGTAGAAAGTCGCGTTGTCCGCCGCCCTTACGGCGTCAGATGTCGGAGCCCTTATGTCGCGGGCCAACACGATCCCAACGATATGGTATGGTGCCACTTGAAGGAGGAGTATGAGGTCCATAATTGTATGCATTGGTATATTGAGAAGGTATTCGTTCCTTGGCATCTTCATTCACAGACTCAAGCGGGCTAATCGGTCCAGTCCTCGGTTGTATCGGAGAACAAACCGGTCAGAGTGTCATTTTGCCGTCTACTGGAAGCAAGTTCAGAACACGGGCTGTGTGTGAAGGTCGACCTTTTGTTCTCCGACAGTGACAGAGCCCCAGCCATGAGCAATCGTGAGTGTCGCACTAGTAAACATTAGTCTTTTTTTACTTACCAGCCACAGAGACCATGCGGCTATGCACCGTTGAAGCAGATCTCAGCCGGATTCCTAGGGATCTCTTTGTTAAGAAGTGCAATTCCAAGGGCGTCGAGTATTATGAGGTTTATTACGATCTAGTCATGATTCCTACATCTGCTTCTCTGTTGTTCGAGCTGGAATTCAACGGGGTGGGCTACGGCAGTGTTCGCTCCAAATACTGATGACCAATGGACCGCCCAGGCTCGGTGCCATTTGTTGCATTTAAGTGGGTAGCTTTGTATGCTTATACTTTGCGTTTGCTTCGCTGGGTAGATTCGCTGGGCAGAATAGATTCCGAATTACAAGATTTTGCTTAGAGCCCTTCTTGTGAGGATCCTTATGTGTAAAGATTGATCATGAGCTGCTCTGCGTTACACGGTCTATGCGATAATGAATTTTTCGGATCAACCCCCAGCAATTGAAGGGGGTGACTCTACTGTCGTGGGGAGTATCAATTGTCTTAGAACTTTCGGTTGTTGATGGCTTTCCCTCGAACCGACTTTTCTCAGTGATAAATACAACAGAGGTAATGAGTAGAGGATCTTGTACCTAATTACTCTCCATGAGTATCTCAGCTAAGGAACTCAGCGGAGAGACCCTAAAGAACTTTGATCAGGAAGTCAATAAGAATGAGAAAAAAAACTCCGATAGCAACGTCTTCAGCGGTATAAGACTCAACAGCTCTACTGTAATAGTGTTCCGAAATTCATTTTCTCGAAGAGACTAGATCTAGTGTTTTGTGCTGGCCGAGGTGAAATCCGAGAGACAGTTGCCCATAGAACTTGGGAGTGAGAGGGCCATACTGGGAAATATTCCGAGTTAGATAAAATCAACTCAAAGAGAAATCCAACACAAGGATCAAGACTGCTGTTGTTGTGTGAGACATTGAGACTGGTAGTGCTATGCTGAACATACAAAAAGCTTCTTGTTCCGAAGCCTGTACCCTTAATATGTGTATCCACTGATACTGTAAATAGAAGATAAGAGATCTCTTGTTGATTATACCATGATAGTATCAAAGTTTATTCTCACGCCAAAAGCGGTATGACTCACCCGTCAAGCTGACCTGACTACCTTATCAATCAATCATTCATGCCACGACCTTTCATCTACAAAAGCCCCTTCTTGCATCTCATCCAAGCCAGCCAGCTCCTGCATTTCCGTCCCATCATGCTCATCAAACTCGACGACCTCTCCCACCCGGAGACCCGCGCCCTCCTGGCCCTCCACATCGCCGACCTCCAACGCAAATCGCCCGCCGAGTCCTGCTACGTCCTCGACCTCACGGCCCTCCAGCAACCCGCCATCTCCATGTATACGGCCTGGCACGGCCCGGATCTGCTGGGATGCGGCGCGCTCAAAGAGCTCTCCCCGACGGCGGGCGAGATCAAGTCCATGCGCACGGCGGCGGCACATCTCCGCAAGGGTGTGGCGCGCGCGCTCGTGCAGCATATCATTCGCGAGGCGCGGAGGAGGGGGTATGTGTGGTTGAGTCTGGAGACGGGGACCGACGGCTCGTTTACGGCGGCGAGGGAGTTCTATGCTGGCCAGGGGTTTGAGGTCTGTGAGGCGTTTGGGGATTATGTGCCCCGTGCTGGGACTTGTTTTATGAGGTTGAGGTTGGGTTGATGTGGGTTATTGGATGGAGTTTTATTTGTGTTAAACAATACCTAGTAGTATATCGCTGGGTATTTGGGTAGTGGCGCCTGAGCCAGGCTGTGACAGATATCCGGGGTCACGTGACCTCGGATCTCGCCACCTCTTGGAGGAACAGTCATATAGCTGTAGTTTCTTTAATTAATATATATATATTTCCTCTTACAGGTTATAAGTTCTTGTAGCTACGTTTCTCGTTAAATTTATTCTTTTTTATTATTTTTATTAAGAATCTTCTTATATATATTAATATTCACGATATTAACAGCTTTGTACATCTTTGTTTAATATTTTATATATTTAAAGAGATAAAGAAGCTTTTAAGGTGTTTTAGCCGGCTTAATATCTAAATCTAATATCTATTAATTTACCGGATTAACTAACTATATACTTCTATTACGCAAGCGGTGTGGCTATATATTATATTATAATATTATTAAAAAATCTGTTTAATATTAATATTTTTAAAACTATATTAAAGTTGAAAGATTAGTTTAACTAACTGATATAATAATATAATTTATATAACTATTTTAAGTCTAAAAATCTAAATACTTGGAAATTATTTTAAGATAACTATACTATTTTTAAGAAACTAGTTTTTTATTTTAATTTTAAAGAATAAGTTGTTTAAGTTCTTATAGTTCGAGTAATAGAGAGTAGAAATCTGTTTATTTAAGTAAATATTTAATATAATATTACTAAAGCCAGAAAAAAGAACTGTATTCTTCTAAATATATATAATATAAATATCTAAAAATAAAATTAATTAAACTATTTAGTTTTTATTATTCTTAATATTATATACGAGCCCAGTTCTGTAATATAATTCTAAAACTATAATATAGCAGTTGAGGTATACAGATTTTTTTAAAAAATTTATAAGATCTCTAACTTTACAACTATTATTTACTTATATAATAAATAAATGTTTATATACTATAATAGTACTATTAATTAAGATATATTTTTAATAAAGTTTGCCAATGTTTTTAATAAGCTGTATAATATTAAAATTATAAATAATCAGACTAAACTTTTATAGTTTTTTATAATAATTTAAAATATTACTATATTTTAACTATTTATTATAAATTAGTATATAATACTTAAGAAAGCTGCTATTTTCTTATTAGTTTATATCTAATTTATATAATTTAAATATACTCGGAAGAATTAATTCTTACAGCTGTTTATATATATTATTATTAATAAGATTTTAATTATTAATATTTTTAATTATAATAGTAGTAATTGTAGTAGCTGAGGCTAAAATAAAGACTATAACTATAAATATAATAATAGCTGTAGCTGTAATAAAAAATAGTTAAATTTTAATATTTAGTTTAAATATAAAAAATTCAATATTATAGATAGAAACTTAATATTTTATATTTTTTATTAATATAATAGGAATTATTTCTTAAGTAAGTGTTTATTAAATTTAGATAAAAAAAGAATATAAGTATATATATTAATATAATATTTATACCAGTAAAAATAGTACTACTGTTTAAACTGTCTATTATTAATATTATTAATATTAATTATAATTTATTTAGTATTTTTATTATATTAGTTTATTTTAATATAACAGTTATAATTTAGAAGAATATCTATCTAAACTATACTAATAAGTAAATACTTAACTCTAGAATTATAGAGAATATAAGCTATTCTAAATATTATTTTTAGATTTTTATACTTTGTATATATTAGACTAAAACAGCTACTAATAAAATCTTTTATACTATTAGCTATAATATTATATTTATTAAATTTATAAATAAGAATAATAATCTAACTAATATATTTAATATTAATTATTACTAGTTTATTTTAGTCTTATTAAATAATCTTATCTTTTATAAACAACTTGCTTGCTTGGATGTTTAATTATATATAATAAAAAAAATTATATATTTAATTAAGAATAGTAAATAGATTAGCTATATTATTATAAATAAAAAATAATATTTTATAAATATTATCGGTATAATAAGCTGTAAGACTATTTATAATTTATATAGTTATAATATTTTAACTTACTTATTTTTTATTAATCTTATTATTTATATAGTTAAAAAGTTAGTTTTTCTACTAATTTTAATTTATTTAGTTTATTACTATGCGGCCTATACCTCTAAGTATAAAATCTATAATTTTTTAAAGTATATTATTAATATAGATATTAAAAAGAGTATTCTACCGGCATCTTATAAACTATGTTTATATAAAAAAGATTAAATATTTTTAGTATTATATATAAAGCTATATAATCTTAGACTTTAAGTTAAAGATTTTATATATACTAATATCTGCGGCCCGCTGTTTATATATAATTAGACTAGTATCTACTATTTTATTATTTTTATAGACTATATTTTTTATTATTATTAGGCTTTTTTAAGGACTGCAGCGAGGTTTATAATAAATTTATTATTATATAAAACTATTTTAAATATTAATTAAATATCGATATTAAATATATTTATAGTAATAATATACTAAAATATTGATTATTTATAATTTACTGCTAGAAACAGAATATTATTTAAAATCCGGTTTTATATTACTATTTTAATTTTAATCTGATTACTAAAATTAAAAATAGATATTTTATTAAGCTCTATATTTTTATTATAGCTAATTGTAACGGGCGATGCTGGGGATATCGTAGAGGACGGCAGAATGTTACCGCTTAACACACCGCCAATGGAATGGTCATACTTGTATCCAGCATAGCTAGTGATTAGTGATAATACAACAATCATCCTCCTCTATATTGTGACCACCGTTACACTAATAATTAATTATTTTATTATTTATAAGACTATATTATTCTTACTATAAACTATATTTAGAACCGGTTTATATATAATTTTATTAGTAAAATATTTTATAAAGTTTTATATAGTATATAATCTAATATCTTTTACTAACAGGTCCTAGGCTGCTGCTGCTAGTATCTTATTTTTAAGAAAACTTATAATAAATTAGAAAATTATATATAGAAAAACTATTTTATAAACTACTTTAAATTAGTCTATAAGATATATAATATTAAGATATATTAAATTATATATATATATAATATTATTTTTAATAAAAAACTGATTTTATAAATACTAACTATTATATTTATATATAATTTTAATTCCGTATGCGGCGGTACTTTTAATAAAAAAACTGTTTAAAAAGATATATACTATTAGTTTTTATTTAATATATTTTTTTAATACTAGAAGCTATTATAAATAAAGTTTTCTAGTATTTCAGTTTTAGATTAAAAAATAGTAATACGGATTCTAACTAGTTTATTAAATATAAATAAACCGGTATATTATTTTTATTAAATATTACTAATAATACTATATATAAAGTATCATTTAATATATTTAATATATTATTTTTAACTATTAAAAATAATAATTCTAATAATAAGTTGATGGTTGTAGACCATCCAGCTACTAATAACTTATTTTTAGTATTTTTAGTTACAGAAACTATAACTCAGCAACTGTTATATTATTTAAGTTATATATAAAAGCCGTCTTATACTCTATTTAAGTTGTTATAATCTTATATTATTGATATTAATAATAATCTGGATCTCTATATTAATATTTTATTTAATCTTTTTATTAATAATTATTTTATTTATATCTTATTTTTTAATACTACAGTTATACAGCCGCCTGTAGATCTATTTTTAGATTATAAAAGATTTTTTTATTATAAAAAAATTAATATTATAGGATATCGGCTATATTTCTATTAGTTATACTAATACTATAACCTATGTTAAAGTCTTTAAATAGTATAATATTATTTACTAAAAAATATAGTAATAGATTAAATAAGATATTTTCTATATTATTCTATATTTTTATAAATTCCGACTTCTGTTTTTTAAATAGATATAAAAGATTAAGTATAATAATATATATAAAATTTATTTTATTATTAAAAGATTCTGCTAATATACTAATAAGAATTATTAGATAGGCGAGATTTATATTACTATAATAAAAAATATGAGTTTTAAGATTTTTATTATTTTTATAATTATATTTAGTTAGGTGTTATATAGTTTTAATATTATTATAGTCTTTTCTAACGCCGAATTATATAAATTAATATATATTAAATTATCGAAAGGCTTTTAAGAGAACAGTATATATAATATACTTATTAAATTATTATACAGATTAAAGTAGATACTATATAAATAATATAATATACTTTATAATTTTCTTATTATAAATAGTTTTAAATATTTTTATATAAATTATTTTATATTTATCGGAAAAGATTTTTATATACTTATATATATTAATAATATTCTTTTTTTAGTATTAGATATCTTTATAATTAATATTTTTAAGAATCTACTAGATAGTTTTATTAAGTTTATTAATAACAGTTTCTATATTTGCTTTTTTAGTATTAATATTATATAAATTAATAACAGTATATATTTTTTGTAGAAGTTATATATTAAAAACTGTTTAAAATATTTTAGTATATTAATATATAAAGTGTCTTTTATATTTTTTAACTATAAAAATCTTTTGTCTAAGTATATAGAAACAGCCTAGCCGGATAATATTAAATTATATTAGAAATATAATAGTGCTTTAATATAAACTATATTTAATATATACTCTAATATTATATATATAATTAGTAAGTTATTATTTTTTATAGTAAATTCTAATAAGTCTTATTTTTAAGTTATAAATCTTGTCTGATGCTATTTTATAGACTTGTTAAACTATTATTTTTTTATAAATATAAAGATTTTGGTTTTGTTAGCTATTATAATATTAATTAAACCGCTCTTTATATTTTTAATATTATATTAACTTTCGGTTATATTTTTTATCTTACTAACAGGTCTGTTTTTTAGAATTTAAAAAAGCAGACCGTTATTATACTTTTTTTATAAAAAATAAGTATATTACTTAGACTGTTATAATCTAAAGACTTTTTTAGTTTTAACTTCTATTTATTAAGTTAGATATTTAATATATTAAAACTATATTTGTACTAATAATTAAACCTACTATAATTCGTGCTGATAATTAATCTATTATTACTCTAGCTAAAAATCCGGAATTCTATATAAAAACTAAATATATATTTATTAAATAGTATTTTATACAGTATAAAGTATATGCTAAGAATATTAAGTTTATTTATATTAGTATAATAAATTAAGCAGCCGATAGTCTTACGAAGTTTTTTAAATATCTTATTTATTCTTATTTTATAAAACAGCTTAGTATGGTAGATCTTATCTAATATTTCTATATTTATACTTTATACTTTATTTATTTTCTGTTTTAGAAATATAAGTAATCTTACGTCTTTTTCTTTTGTATATAACTTAGTAGCAATCTTTTTGTTTATAGGGGGTGTAATAAATATCCGGGGTTATATGACCTCAGATCTTGCTACCTCTTGGAGGAACAGCCACATAGCCGTAGTCTCTTTAATTAATACACATACGTTTCCTCTCACACAGGCCGTGTTAATAGTACTTGTGCAGGGTATCATACTCACAAATTGGGGTGTAGGCAGTTACCTAGCGAAAAGAGAGCAGGTGTGATCGCTGTGAATGGGAGTAGCGCATGTATGCTTGAAGTTTGAAGAGAACAAGCGCAATGGTTGTTCTGAATGTACATATGTGTTCGGTATGTCACTAGATTGACATACGCTAGTCAATTAGACGGTTGTTCCCGACGAGCACATGCTCCAGTCCCAACATCCGTATCGGAAGTAAAAGGCTATAGAACTTGGACTTCGACCTCGACTCTATCAGATTCAAGTGAATTGAGCTTCGCGCATATATCTCTGCTAATTACTCCGTCTCGATGTTCCAGATGCATCCCACATCAATGCGATATCTACCGGGATCGGATCCCCCCCTTCCATCTCACCACTCGAACCCTTGTCATCGTCGGATGTAAGACCGGTCGACCGGTCCTATAAATGGCTCTCAGCTCGGCGATAAACGATAAGGCGTTGGACTGTCTCTATTTAAGTTATAAGCGCCTGCGTCTTTCGTGATCCCCTCACCTCTAATCTCTATTTCGTTCAGGCTCGTCTCGGAAGCTCAATCCTCAGATACCATGGCTCAAGACGAACCAACCACATATCCAGGCAACTGCCATTGCGGTGCCGTGCGCTTCGAGATCCATCTCGCCAGACCATTTCAGACGACTTTCGCATGTCCGTGTAGACTCTGTGCGAAAACAGGCTGTCCATGGATCTTCGCCGAAGACAATGAGCTGAAGTTCACCAGGGGGCGCGATACCCTAGCCAGATACAAGACGCAGAAGGGGAAGCATGAGGTACGCCCAATTATCTGCGAGGGATATAGATTCGTGACCCTAGTGCTTTTGACTTTGTCCACTTCCTGCGTTAACGTCTGTTCTAGTTCTGTGCTACATGCGGCACCCAAATCACAGTCCGCAACCACCTTATCGTCTCCGGTCAGGCTGGTCTAGGTGTCAGCGTGAGGCTTCCGATCCTTTCCCCTGCAATCTGCAAACTGTCAGTATGTTTAAGTATCGCTAAGACGATCCCCTAGTAGGCAAGAGCATTGCTGGACGTGAATCCGTTCCATCTCTCCGTGACCACGTAAGGCGCCAATTCCTCAACAGAACAGTGTATAAACCATGCTTAAAGCCAAGCTCGGGCGCAGATTGCCACCCGCTCCTGAAAAACCGCAACCATCGCCGGTCACCGAACCGCAACCGACCACCCCCGACGCCTTGAAGGTATACCGGGGAGGCTGTCATTGCGGTGCGATCGAGATCACCGTGACGAGCCCGCCTCTCCGCCACGTCCAAGTCAAGGAGGATAATTGCAGTCTCTGCCAGCGGGTTAGTCATTCCCCCCCCTCCCCACTCGATTGATTTTGCTAGAATTGACGAGTCCAAGAACGCGAATGTCTGCATCTACCCGGCCAAGTCCGCCGTGGCGATTGAGGATCCCCGCACCCAGCTCCGGGAGTATCGTTTTGGCCGGCAATTCACCGGCCATCGCTTCTGCGGCGTCTGCGGCGTGCAGCTCTACATGCATCTGCATGGACCCCCCGCGGCGGTGGTGACGAGGCTGTCGCCCGAGAAGCAGGAGCTGGTCAGGCGGAACTTGGATGTCGTGCCGGTTCGAGTCGCCGTGCTGGAGGGGGTGGAGTGGGATGAGATTCGGGTGGAGAGGGAGGATGAGGGGACCGAGGGGTATGTTTTGGGTGCCTGAGCGAATGGGGGCTAAGCTCCAGTGCGGACTGTTTAGGATTTGCGCGTGGGTATGCTGGGTAATGGTTGCTCGTGTGCGCACATATGCTATGAATGCTTGAGAACACTGGCACCCGGTCTGAAGTCCCTTTGGCCAGTTATTGCGGTCCGTTGCGCTCATAGCCCCCTCATCGCCTTCCTATCGGTCCAATCGGTCTAACATGCCTGATTCTCCCAGCGACAGTGGGGCAGAGAGGATCAAACCAGCTTGGATATCATATGCGCATCATCTCGGTGGACCGAAAGTGCGGCAATATTCATGGGGCTGAAAACTGTCGTGGAACTCGTCCATAGTAAGAGCTAGAAGGAGACCAGATAGGGCTATCATATACGTCCACGGAAGAACTCAATCATCACTTTTCGCTTGCTGGGCCTCGAGGACGAGGATAGAAGGCTTACTTTCTCCGCGTCTCGCGAGTCTTGACGTGATCGTGATCCAGGTTCCTCTCGTAGCCTGGATGTGCTCGCTGGTACATCTCCATCGCTTTCTGTTCCTTGTCCCTTCTCCAATGCCGACCATCAACACAAACTGAACCGAGCAGAAGCTAGGTAGTCGGCAGCCGATTGATATTACGGCTGCGGAGGCGATACCGTAAATGCAACTTGACAAGCAAACGAGGACAACGTTATGGTTGCTGATCGATCCAAGCGTATAGAGATTGGTGTCAGCCGGCCTCACTGGTAGTCCCTCATGTACTTCATCCAAAAGAGACTGGGCAGCTGCCATCTCAATCGATGAAGCGCAAATCTATGCAGGTCTATAGTCATCGTGAGCTAGCATAGCCTGCTTCTGTTGAAACTTGGATGTTGAAGTCTTTGATCTGGCCTAGAGATAGGTTGAGAGGTTTGGTCGAATAAGGTGATGCGGGGCTTGTAGGTAATCGGCTCATTCCCCCGCATTACCGCCCACGCAAAAGACTCAACTTGTCCCTCTTCTATGCCTTCTCTCAAACTTTGTACTTTTTGCAATGCCACCAATCGCTATGTGTGAAGACTCTAGGATTACGATGGCTGCTAGCCTTGCATCACCTCAGCGACAGAGGAACTCAAGTTCCCCAACCATTGTTCCACGACTAGCGTCAACCGATCAGGTGGGTCAGCAGCTTGTCGCTTATGGTGACAACCTGTTGCCAGTCTTCGGTTGCCCTTACTTGTATTTCTGCGTATGTTCTGGAGAATAGTCCCGCGCACATCAACTTATTATTCGAAGCGAACTGATCTATGGTGTAGTGCCAATGTGATGATGGCCCGAAGCATGAAACCCAGCCACGATGTGCGGTGTGTGATCATGATATATGTTCAGATTGCCCGGCGGTCAAATAGTGCAAGAGCAGGCAGGCCATCTGATCATCACAGGCTGCGGAATGATCTTAATATTAAACTTTGTGCGTGAAGCAGGTTGAAATCAGTCAAATCATCTGTATACAGGCCATCAATCCGTCAGATACTCATGATTTCGTCTGTGTCGGCTTCCTCGAGCGTGTTTAGTGCCAATGCACGCTGCTACCCGTCCGTCCGTAAACAGCAGATCACAGGTCTTTGAAACTGTCTTGAGGAGCTCCAATGCCTTCTTCAGTGTATTCTGCAGTGCGTTCTTGAATTTGTTCTTCGAAGTGTTGTTGTCATGCAAAGCCTGCTGAAGTTCAGTAATTAGAAGCATCCAGGCAGTTTGAAGCTGAGATCTGGGTAGCTGAGCACTTCCAGCGTTTCGTGGGTGTTCTTCAGTCTCAGATCATGTCTCCAATCTCCCTGATATGTCCGTGTAGGTTATAGCAGTCTTCATTCGATGACTGGAGAGTGATTGTGTCTTTCGCTCTCAGGTCTCTTCCCTAGCTGCAAGTAAGAATCCAATTGAATGATCGCTTCTCCCTTCACGGAGAATGTTGCCTCTGACTAGTTTGGATGTTGACCCTCATGCCCTCTCATTGGGGATATTTTCCGCCGGGGACGACATATTTAATGTGGCTTATGCTCGTGCCAAACAAGTCTCCCTTCAACCGTTTCGAGAAGAAGAAGCCCTGAAGGGGACTGTCTAAAGCTGTCAGCCAAACTGGTCTGGACATTCGAGTAGACGCAGTTAGCGATGGCTAGAGTAGAATGACAAGGATTGCATTGAAAGGTGCTCAACTGAAGTGAATTCTGGATGGGCAAGTCGTCTGTGTGGTAGTAAGCATAAACTGGCCAGATTCTTGGACGAGCACGTGTTTGTTATACCACGCTTGATGCATGTGTATCATAGGCTCTGGTGCTGTGAAGTGGAAGAAGGAATGATGGATGAATCCAACGGTCTCTCGATTGATCTGATCCATCACCTCTGTTTGTGCTGTTTGCTCGCAGTGGGAAGGATGCGGAGCCAACCTTCTTAGTTTACGTCTCTTTAGCATCAACCTCAGATCGCGGCTGACGTCTGAAAACGAACTTCGTCTCTTCCTTGGGCTTCCTTCAATACAATAGGTCTCTATTATACCAACAAAGGATCCTTGTTCGAGCGGCCTGTTCTGCGAGCCACATCCTCAACTCTACGCTCCAACCATTGTTCCACCTAGTCGTTGGTCAGTGGTTGTCGGCGAGAACCTGCAGCGTGAGACTCACATTGATGAACTTGAAAAACACCCAGCTGGCGACGGACAGAAGCAGTAGCACGCCCCCAATAAGAGGGTACCAACGCCAGGATGGGTTATCTTCCAGGATATCCACTATCATACCGAATAAGCTCTAGACAAGGTGAGTAAAATGTTCTTCACTGCCACAGAGGGAATGCTCACAGAGGCGAAAGTCAATGGAAGAAAGATAAACTGCGAGGATACAGCTTGTCAGTGCTATATAGGTACTCTGCAGATGACATCCTACCGTGATCCAACTAAGTCGTTTCATACTAGTTGCCAAACTAGTCGATCGATGTGCTTCGTTAATCGACACCCATGCAAATTCCTGTACATATCAGCGGACAATACAGCGAAGATGAGACTGGAGTTTCTCACAATCTGAAGCAGGTCGCGGACCGTCTGCTCCAGCTTATCGATCTGTCCTGATATATCCCGTTCGAGCTCGGAGATCATATTCTGCATCTGCTCGGTGAATTTGCGCGTCTCGCTGAACCGCTGATACTGGGTGACAAAGTCTCGGACTTGGTTTAGCTGCTCCGCCAGCAATCCCTGAACGTGAGTCCATCGCTGCATGTGCTTGGCTATGGAATCAATGAGTCGATCATCTTTTCCCCGCGCAGACAACTGATGCGTGCGCTGCGGTTATCAGTACTAGCCGCCACCGAACATATTGACAAAGCTTACCAGTCGTCCGAGATACCTCCTGGCCTCTCGGCAGATCATTAACCAGTCCTCTCGCCAAGTCTGCATGAACAGTTGCACTAGTTCAAGGTCATTCTGTGGTATCCAACCATAAGGCAGATTACTATAGTAGTGAATTGCTTTCGGTGGTGCCTCCAGCATTGCCCATTCGACAATTCGGACCGTGCCCTTCTCGTCATCGTCATCTGTGAGCAAGTCCCCTATCTTTATATCCAGTCGAATAAACAATGTGAATGTCCTGCAGGGACTTTTATGTCCCAGAGAGAAGTTCATCTCATTGGGCGTTTCTGTCAGTGGACAATACGTTTCCCAGACATAGTTCTCTCGGAAGAGCCTGGGCTCAATGGTCAAAAACAGAGACACTTGACAGTGACAGGATACGAATGACCTACATCAGATGTGTTTCGTCGACTGTCTTGGGCAATGCTCTGATCTCTTTCTGCAATACATCGGCTGTTAACCAGCGGGCCTTTCTGCGTCCGTCCCGCAGAGCCACAAGATCAACAACTACACTGGGCTTGATTCCGCGGCTATAAGCCCCGAAGTTCAAACTCTCGTCGAGATCCAGCATGTTCAGCCGATGATTCATCAAGGCAATCAGGCCTGCCCGATCACCTTCTGGGATAGTCATGTCCATCACCGGGATCGAATGTTGGCCTTGAGTAGGAAAATTGCGTGACGGCATCAGGTTCACAGTCGGTTTCCCTTCACTACAAGGGCCGAACCAGTCCCCGTTCTCCAATTCGTCGATGCGAGCTTTGTGCTCCAAGAGAGCAGCCACGGTGGGTCTATCGGCCTGCTGGAGTGCCATCCTCATCAAGGGAATTGAGCTGTACTCGTCCTCTCCTTCTAGACTGGGCTTGTACCGTTCGAGGAAAGGTTTCAGTAGTCGCGCACGACCTTCCTGAATCATCACAGGCAAAGACACAATGTCCTTCTTTCGGTCTACATCATCCCCTACGCCCAGCATAAGCGTATCGGGCACTTCATAGTGGCTCCATTCCAATGCATAGATGAGGGGCGTTTTGCGATAACGATCAATTGAATTGGGGTCTGCCCATGTGGTTCTTAAGAGATGGTGGACCAGTTCTCGATCACCACGCTCGCTTGCCCATGCCAGGAACGTGCGTCGGGCTTTTGTCATGGGCTCGATTCCAGGGCCAGGCCCGAGCACAGTCAGCCACTTCTGAAAATCAACGTCGGGTGATATGACCCCATGCGCTAGCATACTTCTTCTGGCCGTGTTACTAACCAACCACCACAGAGGGATCTGTCCCTCGTGGTCTTGAATGTCTCCACTGGCTCCACAATCGACCAACAAGCTCGCGGCTTTGAGATGCCAATTCTCGGCCGCCCAGGAGAGCGCGGTCCGCCCTCGCCCATCTTTGCTATCCGGGTCTGCTTTACCCTTGTCAAGGAGGAGCGCGACGATCCTGTCATGGCCCCGTTCGGCGGCCCGCGACAACGGTGTGCGGCCCCGCAGGTCGGCCACCTCTGACAGCACGCCCTTTTGCAGGAGAAGCTCCACCATCTGCTCGTCACCGGCCTTGACGGCCCAATGCAAAGCGGTCTCGCCGTGCAGGTCCGCAAGTTCAGGATCGGCTCCACGGTCGAGAAGCAATTGCATCAACTGACCCGGACGATCGCGATCAGTGGCCGTTTTCGCCTGCGCCAGGTCAAAGGATGCCGCCCAGAAGAAGGCAGTGCGACCAGTTTGATCTCGTACATCCGGAGAGACTCCATAGAGCAAGTACCGTACCTCGCTGAGCAAGCCGCGTTGGGCGGCTTGCATCAGTTGGGCTGTTCGGTCTTCATCCAGTTGGAGAAATGCAGTGATCGGAGGCACGGTCATTCTTCGTTGGTCACGAAACCATGTTATCATTGACTCGCCTTGCGAATCGTCGAAGTCGCGAAGTCGTCTAATGTTAGTGTCAGCCCGTCAGCCGGAGCTGCATATCGATCCAGCCGCTTATTGGTGGGACTATGGTGGAGGGAATGCAAGCCGCCGAAGAGGACCAATCCGAATAATGCATAATCTCATCTCAGCCGACAATTGAGTTGAGCAGCACGTTCTGTTCTGAGAAGTTCGTGACATTTCACCGGTGTACCGCATTTTTCCTGCTATCTCAATCATACCTCCATCGCACGTATTTGGACCAAGCCGGCGATCTAAACAGCAACAGGAAAGGTCACGCCCTACGACTCAACGGGCCCAACCGGTGCCTGATCATGACGAATGGTAGTGAGTACCGCGCTCCATGGCGTTCATTATGCACCCCTAGCTTATTTATGTCCGACATCGGCGCATATTGTGGTGATAACGATTGATTTACACCGGAGTAGAATATCCAATTGTGAGGCCGTTGAATGACGAGCTGTCGTCCCCGCAATCCTACAGAGGTAAAAAAGGCTTGGTCGCGGATGCAGCTCATGGGCTTCTGGAAACTGTTAAAATAGAGCTTGTTTCCCCTGGAAACATGTTCAAGAAGTGATTCTGTTTAGTCCCGTCAGAGCCTCGATGCTTGCTCATGACAATATCGCCCGCACGTGATTCACTTATGTACGCGTTTGCAGGAATGACTAGAAGATGGTACCTGATGGTGACATATTCGCAGTACGTAAGAGCCTCGGAACTTTCCGTGGTGGCAGACGTTCGCCTGACTCTGGATGCGCAGTACAAAGCATCGTTGCCTGGAACTACGTGACGGCGCGGTATTCCTTCGGTTGCCATTGAGGCGACTCTACCGGAGCCTGCTATCTCAGCTCTTTCGCCATGAGTGAGATCAGGCGTGCCTCATCCTGATTTTCAAGGATGCTTATCAGTTGCAGCAGCACGAACTTGGTTGGTGACCAATTGGTACGGAGAGATTTATCTCTAATCTTCTGGGCCAACCGCTCCAAATTGGCTTCAGAGCAAGCTCCACTGCCAAGACCGGACTCGACAACCATGGCTGCAATTTGGCTCCACCCTCCGCTGTCAAGTCAACGTTGGTTGGTCTATCGGATATAGCATTATCAGTGGTCGCAATGGTGTCATTCTCTCCTGTTTATCCAAGCCGGCCTGCTTTGACCGGAAACAATGCTACTCATCTGCAGGATAACGCCATCCGCTGGTCAACGTTGCATCGACAAGCTGGTCATGTCCGATTGGCCATCCTGCACGCACTTCTCGCTTATGGTTCAGGAGGGAAAGCCTCGCTTCGTTCCGCCTAGTGGATACTCGTCCGGCTGTTGCAATACACCGTCGCATGTACTAGTCCACCGGTATACTCTGGTCGACACCGCACACAATGTATGCGTTAGTCTGACATTGGGGATGATCCCGCTGCCGGTTGAATTGATCCCGGTCTTCAAAGCAAGCTGGTGGCTATGCAAGGAAGTCAGGAACGAACCTGCGAATGCGGGGATTCTGGCACCATCACCTCGGATGGCCCTGGTTGCGTACTCTAGGCTTCCAGTCGCATATCTCAGAGGGCCGTGCCAAGACTATCCCATGAATGTTCCATCGGGGCTCCGGAGTGCATAAGATTTAACCCGCCTTTGAAGCTCTCCCGCTGTCTGATTAGCGGTTGTGCCTAATTCGCTGTCTTTTGCGATCAGTGGGACACTCACGTCGCTTCAAAGAGTTCACACAAAGAGGTCTGCGGTGCCTACGATCGGTTGGCGAGGAGCCATAAACCTCGAAAAATGCTCGCATACCATGCACCACAACAGGGAGCGGATCAGGGAGAAATAGCTTCTGGAAGGACGCTACATATGAAGACGTTTGTCTATTGGAGATTCATGTTTCCTCGATAGGCAGTTCCGTGCGCCGTCTGACTGCTGCATATGGAATGATCTGTGTTCCACCCTTTTCCTCCACAGGCCATCGATTTCTCGAAAGACGCTATAGCCGCTTGGGAAAGGTATGGGATACCTTCCCTGTCCAGCAGACATTCCCATGCTAACAAGCAGGGGTAAGACGGTACCCACCAGAGCCTGACGCTAACTGTTGGCTATCTTCATTCCCCCCATGTCTGTCTGAATGGACGGCCGATAGTCGACTCCACGCGCGCGAACCCAATGCTAGCCCCGCTAGACGGGAGGCGACTCTTATCAGAATGGGGCGAAGTGCCTTCTCTTCTCGGTTTATTATCTGTTTCCCATATAAACCCAGTCCGGACACTCGCTTGTTCTCAATCCGCAGAAAAAAGATTTTTACACTTGTGCTGTCATTGTAAGGTGTGATTCTCTGCACCATCTGACACCATGAGCGACCCCGTCGGTCCTGACGACCTTGTCTACGTCGCCCAAGCGCACGTGCCTCAAAAAGAGCTCCAGACACCAGAGAAGGAGGATGCTGTAATCACTGCCACCAGGTATGATGATGATGGCCGCGAGATTCCAACGGTGGAGGAGGAGCAAAGCCTGCGTCGTGTGGCGGGCAAAGTGAAGTGGACTGCCTATACAATTGCATTCGTCGAGCTGTGCGAGCGGTTTTCCTACTATGGAACAACTGCCGTCTGTACGTGCATCCGGCCGTCTCCATGAGTGCTGCTAACATCCTATCAGATACCAACTTCATCCAGCAGCCTCTGCCTGCAGGTTCGGATACTGGTGCTGGAGGAAGTGGGCAGTCCGGAGCCCTCGGTCAGGGTCAACGAACATCCACCGCGCTTACCACCTGTAAGTTGCATCTACGGCAGCTGCTCTCAATACCTCTAACATAACTATACAGTCAACACCTTTTGGTGCTACGTTATGCCCATTCTGGGTGCTTGGATCGCCGATGAATACTGGGGCCGGATGAAGACGATTCAGGTCGCCATCGCCTTTGCAATGCTGGGACATATCATTATCATCATCTCCTCTATTCCCCAGGTCATCACCAATACCAACGGCGCCCTTGCCTGTTTCTGCGTCGGCCTGGTCTGTTTCGGAATCGGCGTGGGTGGGTTCAAATCGAACATCTCACCGCTGATTGCCGAACAGCACCGCGAGACCAAGCTCTGGGTCAAGACCGTGCCCAAGACAGGAGAGCGAGTCATTGTCGATCCAGCGCAGACGATCACCCGCATTTTCTTGTACTTCTACTTCATGATCAACGTCGGTTCGCTGATTGGATCGGTGGCCATGGTGTACGCTGAGAAGTACGTCGGCTACTGGCTGGCCTACCTGCTACCGACCATCATGTTCGGATTCTGTCCCCTGGTATTGTTCGCCTGCCGTAACAAGTACCATGTGACACCTCCGACAGGGTCTGTCGCGGCGAAGGCATTCAAGCTGTGGGGACTTGCGTTGAAGAGGCAGTGGACCTGGAACCCTGTCGTCTTGTGAGTACTCTTGTGTCTGTGTGTTGGAGGAGTCATGACTAACAGTAACACAGCTTCAAGCGATGCCAGTCCACCGAGTTCTGGGACGGCGTCAAGCCCAGCCAGGTAGAGAACAAGCCTCACTGGATGACCTTTGACGATCAATGGGTGGACGAAGTACGCCGTGCCGTCAAGGCCTGCGCGGTTTTCGCATGGTACCCTCTCTACTGTGAGTGCTCATCTCCTTCTGTTCAACCTGACCACCGCTAACAAAGATCATCAGGGTTGGCATACGGCCAGATGACCAACAACTTGACCTCGCAGGCGGCCACGATGCAGCTTCACGGGGTGCCCAACGACATCATCAACAACCTGGACCCGCTGGCCCTGATCATCTTCATCCCGATCATGGACCAGTTCGTGTACCCGGGCCTGCGCAAGATGGGCATCAACTTCACGCCGATTAAGCGCATCTACGTGGGGTACCTGCTGGCAGCAGCCTCGATGATCGCGGCGGCCGTGACGCAGTACTACATCTACAAGCTGAGCCCCTGCGGCGACCATCCGAGCACCTGCGACGAGGCGGCGCCGATCAACGTGTGGGTGCAGACGGTGCCGTACGTGCTGATCGCGTTCTCGGAGATCTTCACCTCGATCACGGGGTACGAGTACGCCTACACCAAGGCGCCGAAGAACATGAAGTCATTAGGTAAGCTGCTATGCCACTTTGAAGACGTTGTTCATGTCATGCTAATCTGTCGAACAGTCTCGTCGTTATATCTTTTTATGAATGCCATCTCCTCGGCTATCCAGCAGGGCTTGACGGCGCTGTCGACGGACCCGTTGTTGATCTGGAACTATGGGTTCGTGGCGGTGCTGGCGTTCATCGGAGGGAACCTGTTCTACCTCAGCAACCTGAAGCTGGACAAGGAGGAGGATGAGCTGAATAATCTGGAGGAGTCACAGTGGGTGGGGCAGAATTCCGGGGAATCCGAGAAGACGGTTGCTTAATTGCTTAATTGCTTAATGTGCTTGACGTGATGTGTGTATGCTTATGATGTCATGTGGGGCATTGCCTCAGGGTTGGATGCATGAGTCTATGAGTCTGGACCGAGTGTATTTTAATGTGATTGAGATTGAGTTGACCTGGCTCATAACCAGGTTCCTGAGTAACTACATCTTTTGCATGTTTGTGTCCCTTTGTAATATCTAGAGTGCGAGCAGAAGTATAGAGTCATTCGTCAAGGTCCATATTTGGTAACTCGGTAGTTATACTCGTGGATAGAGAAGTCCTAAACCCTGAACAAAGACCTCTCGACCCGCCCATCCTACATCTGGATACAAAAGCCCGTATATTCACAAGTCCAGAGAGATGTTGTACATTGATGATATAGACACTCATGAGCATGCATTAAGAAAGCGTGATACCTCGCACCCAAATCTTTTCGACGAAGAAGGCAAAAGTAAAAAGAAAAAGAAAAAAAGAAAGCAGAGTGGTCCAAACCCGCAGACCACTCCAAGTCTATCAAGCAACCAAAAAAGCATCTACTCCTTCTTCTCCCCCTCCTCCTCCTTGGTCTGCTCCTTCTTTTCAGGCCGACCCTTCTTCTCCTCCGCCTTGGCATGTCCCTCCAAATAATCATGCTCGTAGAGACTCTGCTTCTTGCGCTTCAACCGCTCCTCCTCCGCCGCAACCATATCCTTCCACAGATCGCCCGTCTCCTCACGATCACCCGCGGGCTCACTCCCACTCTTACTCTCCTGCTTCGCCGCCTGCTCCTTCTCGGCCTTCGCCTTATCCAACAACCCCTTCCCGCGCCGCTGGTCCTGGATCTCAAACGCCGCACTGGCGACGAGCACCGCCAGCGTCAGGCCCTGGGCGTACACACGCGCCTGCACGATCTTCTGGCTGCTGCTCAGGAACTTGTTGCGGTTGACCATGGCGAAGCTGCCGACCATGGACGCGACCCAGGTGGCGCCGACGATCTTGTACTTCTCGCGCTTGGCCCAGGCGGTGATCCGGTCCACGGTGGAGAGCGAGGCCAGCTCCTCCTGCCGCAGCCGCTCGTTGCGGTCCTTGTACCACACCTGGCTCGCGTTCCGCGACGCCTCGAAGTCGCGCGACGCGTGGTCCGCCGCGATGATGCCCACGAACGTCCCCGACGACGTCACCAGGAACGACTTCATCGGCAGCGTCAGGTTCCGGATCGTCGCGCTGCGCTTGCTGAACGCCAGCACGCCCGCCACGCCGCCGATCAGGCCGAGCACGCCGCCGATGGTACCGCCTTTGAGGACGGAGCTGGAGGGACGGGGTGTGTTAGTGGTGGTGAGAATTTGGGGGGGATTGGGGGGTTTTTGGAGGGGTTGGGGACTTTCGAAGGGGTTGGGGGATTGAATTGAAGGGAAAGGGGGGAAGCTTACCGGTAGTGAGCATCTTCTTCTTCCTTGGTGAGGATCTTCATTGTGCGATTGTGTTCGTTTGAGGGTGACCAATGTGGATGGGGATTATGTTCTCTCAATTGGATGGCGCACACCAACACAATAATATGTGCAGTGAGTGGGTGCAGTAGTGCAGTAGTGCAGTAGAAATTGTAGAATGTAGAATGGAGAAGCGAAGACGCAAAATGTAGGAAGCAGGCGGGATATAAGGCGCAAGGCGAGCAAAAAGTCGCCCGGCAAAGCAAAAGCCGAGTGACGTCTTGCGAACCCGCAACGGGATCTGCGGCTCTGACTCGGTGTTTCCGCGGCCTTTGCTGGTTCCTTCAGCGTCAAGTCATCATGAGGGAATTTCACTCTCTCTCATAGGGTGGCTGGCCCAGTTGCTTGGGCAGTGCAATCCATAGTATCACTTCGGAACTTTCCTGCCGAATCGGCGATTACTTTTCCTGATGCCCCGGTGGCTAAGGTTGTTACTCATACATGCAATTCTCGTTCTTTTCTCGTGCGAGATTACGCCCCCTCATTCCCCGTATACCGGGTGTTGTAGGAACAGATCGATTTGCTGTCCATTGTCCACGGTCTAGTCTAATCTAGCCTTATGGGCTGATCAATCAATCGCATGTTTGGTCAGATTTTTTTTCCCTTCCCTTCTCCTTCGTCTCCTTCGTCTCCTCGCCTCTCCTCACTAGTCACATACTCCGTAAGCTTTAAATTAAATGATTACAATTCATTCCCAATTTCCTGCGCCTTTCCCGTCCGTAAATAAATCGAATACGAAGCAAAGATAAAGAACATATGCAACTAAAGCTACACTCCAAACACCCCCCGCTATCGCCGGGATCCCTTGGACGCCGCAATCTGTCGCGCCCGCATCTTCCGGAATCGATCCTCGCCGCTGGCGCCCAAGGGTCGCGCAAACTTGCTCTCCTGTACCATCGTCGGGCGCGGCACCACCGTGTAACTCGTGTGAGTGAGGTCGGCGCGCGCCCGGTTCGCCAGTCGCGGCGGCAGCATTTCGCGCGCGCGCGCCTCCGCCACCGACGTTTGCGCCGATTTGGGACGAGATGTGCCCAGTTGACTGGTTCAAGTTAGCAGGGAAATGCAAAAGTGCGATATTGGAGCAATCGAAAGCGACGATCGACGACGAAAACGCTGCAGACAAGAGGGGAGATGGGAAACATACGTAGGATCAAAAGCAGCCTCCTGGTACACCCGCTTGGAGTAGTCGTCGCTGCGCTGCAGGATCGGGCGCGTCCACTCGGCCAGCAGGCGCTCGGCCATGCGCTTGATACCTGGCTCCGGTCGCTTGCTCCGCGTGTAGAATACAATCACCTTGCCGACCCCACTGGCGATCAACGTCTCCTTGTTGATCGGCAGCTTGCCCAGCGCCGTCATCAGATCGCGCTGGATGTTGTAGGCGGGGAGCGAGCCGTCGTCCAGCGGCTCCAGGAAGAACTTGACGGCCTCGAGCAGGTTGATTTCCGGATCGACCAGACTGTTGACGTATTGGTTGCGATTCAGCAGCGAGACGACCTCCGGGAGCATCTTGAGTTTGTGCATGGCGGGCTTGCCTTCGCGGCGGTTGATGGCATCCATCTGTGCGGCGTGGGTCATGCGTTTGCGCATGTCTTCGATCTCAGCATCGGCCATTTGTTCCAAATCCTAACCCCGTAAATCATTAGTTGAGAGCGCCCTTTCCCTTTCATAAAAGACAGCGTAGAACATCCAGGGGCAAAAAACATACAATGCCATCCGCCTTCCGGAACCGTCTCTTAGTCGGCTTCTTCAACGCTTCATCCATAGCACGATCGAGCGCTCTCCTCCGTCCTGTTCACCCCCAAAATAAAGATTAGCATTCCCCCCACAATCTCCGTTTTCTTCCCACGGGGACCACAACTCACGCGTAGCAGGATCCAAGGTCTCATCATCCTCCGGCAACACCTCCTTCTTCTTCGACGCGCCCGTCCGTCTCCGCCCGGCCTTGCCCGTGCCGCCTTCCTCATCACTGGCCCCGCCGCCTTCCTCCAGCTCGCGCATTCGACGGCTCTTCTTCTCGCGCCGGCCCTCGCGCTTCCGCTTCGACTGCTCCCCCTCGGCCCCCTCCGTGCGCTTGCGCTTGTGCCGTCCGATCAGCTTCAGGTTGTCCTCGTCGATGGCCAGCTGCGGGCGGTCCTCGATGTCGACGTTCTCCGGGTCGAAGTCCTCGAACTGCGCCTCGTCCACCTCGGACAGGATCGACTCGTCGTCCGAGTCGTGGGCTTTGTCATCGTCATCTTCGTCGTCTTCGGGCTCCGAGGCCGCAGCATTCTCTTGGTCTTGGGGTCGGGGTTGGGGTTGGTGGTCGCTTTCTTCGGCGTTGTTGTCGGCGCCCGCGCCGGCGTCCGGGGTCGGGGCACGGGCGGGTTCATCTTCGATGGCCGGGGAGACGGCTCGTTGTTGTTCGGGGCTGTTGGGTGCGGACATCTTGACAGAGTCTGCGGTGGTGTGTTTGTGTGGTGGGGTGGTGTCCTGGGGACTGGATGGTGGTGTTGTGTTGGTTGGTGGTTTCAGGGAGATGTGGATGCCTGGTGTAGTTGTTGGTGGAGTTGATGGTAGTGGTAGTTTCAAGCCTGACGCAAGTATCGTAAAGAAAGAAAGGACTCTCTCCTGACTCAAGCTTTTCCCCCTTGTGAGTAATCCTGTGAATAGTTCCGGAAAATGACAGACAGATGACGATTGAAGGAGGAAACGAAATGGATGGAACTCCAAGAAAAGAGACTGGCGCCGCAAAGGCAAGTAAAGGATGGGCTGGAGGAATCCGTTCCGCCTCCGCAGGTGGTCCGTGCTCGGCAGAATCTCTTTTCCTTCGGGGTCGTCAAGCTGATAGAGACATACACTTAAGAAACTAGCCTTCCATCTGCCAGTATACAACTCTTCAACTCACTTTCTCTTTCATTTTTCATACACATTATCTCTCACAATGTTCGCTCCCGGTAGGTCCTACCCCTTCTTTTGAGCAATTAGAGCATTCACTAACACCCCATCCTTTCAGGTCAGGAACAGCTCTCCAGAGAGGACATCAAGGTATTTCTCATTGCCCGACGACCGCTATGATCTATGCATGCCCAGGGCCATGGCCTTGCTACACGGGCCCCCGGTCCAAAGCATGAACAGCAGAGCTAACAACCAACAACAGGCTGGTGAGGCCCAGGCCAACCAGACCGTCCGCATGGCCATCACCGGCGGTGTCCTCCTCTACCTCTGTATGATGTCTCCCGCTCTCGCCGTGTCTCTTTCCGGCCGATCCATCCAAAGCTAACCGTGAGATCTCGCTACTGCAGCTCCCTTCGCCGTCGAGTTCGTCAAGAAGTTCCTGTAAATCGTACAGCATTCGTTCGATGATCATCCATCCGGCTCGATGAACCCGAATATCCTCCTTCTACCGGACTAGAAGACTGTGGTACTGGATACAAGGGCGGTGGTGGACATGAAACCCATTTTTTGATGTATACTAGATCCATTGGAGGGAGCCCCGGTTTTTTTATTTCCACCTAGAAAGAGAATATCTTGCGTATGTTTCTACCTCGTCTTGAGTCTGCGCTTAACGATAAGTAAGAAAGGATCCCTGGCGCGAACGCGCGCGGGTGATGTTGCGGATACCAGCTCCTCGAAAACTCCGGTCAATTGCTTTGCTTCCCCGATCAAACCCAGCAAAGAAAGCAGTAAGTAGAAAGCACACCCCGATTCGTAATAGATTGAACTCAAATGAGAAAGGCATGAGAATGATAAACACTACAATAAATGAGCCCCGCCGCCGGGGAGCTTCTGCGACTCTTCGAAATCCTTCTTCACCGACTCCAGCTCCTTCTGTAGGTGCTGGATCTGCACGTGGTAATCGTCCAATATCTACCGCACCTTGTTAGCAATGGAAACTTCATCCGGTTTGACGGGGAAGGTGCCTGCTTACCTTCTTCGCCGTCTTCAATGTCTGCTCATCTAACTCATCCTCCGCCTGGGCTGTGGCCTTGGGTCCCGCCCGCTCCATCTCCTGCTGCAACCGCCGCGAATGCTCCCGGATGGCCAGCATGCGCGCCCAGATCTCCTCTCCGCGGCCGTTTATCGACGGGTCGAAGACCGACCGCTCCAGCTGCGTTAGCTTTTTCCGCAGCTCCTCCTCGGCATCATCCATCGCGTAGCCGCGGTTGCGCAGCACCTGGGTCTTGGCCGCCAGCGTCAGGCACCGCTTGCTGAGAACAAGGTGTTTCCGCCGACAGTCGGCGATGCGCACGCTGATCTTCAGGTCATGTCGCGACAGGAGCTCGGTCAGGCAGTTGTTGATCTCGTGCATCCGGGTCTGCAGCATGGTGAGGAAGTCCTTCTGGCGCTGCGCGCGCTTGCCGAGGTCAAAGAATCCCTGCACCAGGACCGGTACATAGCCCGGTTCGGGTCGCTTGCGGAGCGCATCCTCCCATTTTGCCTCGTCATCTCCATGTCCCGGCTGGTAGAAGGGCGCCGCGTCTTCGCCGACGTTGTTGTACAGGTAGGTGCGGAACGGGGACGCGCGGTTGTTGGGGTCCCATTTATCCTTGACAATTTGAATCTGCATGGGAACGGTGCGGTGGACTTGTGCAAAGGGGGCAAGATAGTTAGTACATTTTAAAAAATATCATAATCGAGATGCAGCACCAACCTCCCGTAACGGCCCGTCCGGGCTCCCAAAGACTCGACCCCAATTGCGATTGCTGCTGTGCATTGGACTGTCCGAATTGCAATGTCGACCCCATCTGTCCTGCCGGCAATCCTGGTACCTGTTGCTGTTGTTGACCCAGCAGAGAGCCACCGAACAATCCTGACTGCTGTTGCTGCTGCTGTGGTTGCGCCTGCTGGCCAAAGAGACCGGTGCCCTGAGGCTTCTGACCCAATCCTCCGAACAGACCTCCGCCTCCTAGTCCTGACGCGGGCTGCGTCTGGGGTTGTTGGGGCAATGCGCCGAACGCAGGTTTTTGCTGGGTTGCATTTGTGTTGCCAAAGAGGCCGCCGCCTGTGGTCGATGACTGCGCGTTGGTGTTCGTGGCGCCGAACAAGCCGCCCGTATTCGGTTGTTGCTGGGTACCGGCTGCTGTGTTTTGTCCAAAGAGACCACCGCCGGTCCCTGTCGTAGCAGCGCCAGTTCCTGCGTTGCCAAACATACCGCCGCCGGGGCCTTGTTGAGCATTGGCGCCGAAGGGGTTGGGTTTCGAGTCCGTGCTGGGGTTACCGAAGAGGGAATTCCCACCCGAAGGTTGAAAAGGTGTTTGACCGAAGAGGGACATGATGTGTGGTTGTGTTTGGGAGAGGAAGGGGTCTCGGCCGGTTGAGGTGAAGTTGAGGAGAGTGAATCTAAGCTCCGAGCTGGTATCAAGTAGAAAAGCAATGGGACAGCTCAGCGATTGACGAATCGACAGCTGCAAGACCCTTGAGCCAGACTAGTGTCCTGTGAAACAACAATCTCAAGAAGAGACCAGGACCAGCACAGCAAACCTCGAGACCGAAACAATCACGAACAGCAACGGCGATGCGGAGAGCTGCGACTCGAAGCGCTTTTGTTCGGGGCAACCGCTTTGTTTTTCGCAGGTCACGTGCAGTCAGCTCACGCCGGGATCTGTTATTGCCTGAGGCACCAAAGGGATCTATGGCCACGATGCCCGCACCTCAGTCCTGCCTTAGGCGCTCAATATCTGCATTACCTAATCCATCCTCCCGCAACCAATCAACACTCAGCAAAAACCGACCTCCCAAACCTCTCCGCCGCAGCTTCAACTCATCGTCGTCGACCTTGTACTGCCCGCATCAAACCGCCCTCCTCCTCTCCTCTTCCTCCGGAATTGTCTCCCACCCTCCCCAATTGCAATTGAGCTACTCTCTCCGGAACCACCACCGAAACAACCGTCACCATGGCCCGCCGCGAGTCCAGGTATACATCCCCCCTCTCTTTCGCCTCTACCAACGACTACTGCAGCCGCCTTGTCTCTCTCTCTACATCCGAATACCTCCATAATCCCCAAACCCACCAACACCTACATATACCCACCCTCGCCACCACCAATGCCCACAACTGAACCCCCCAAACACCCCTTCCACTCCTTCCAATCTTTGAGAGTCACGAGCCTAAGCTAAGAACCAAAAACATGGCAGATTCTCCCAACAGGTGCTGGTCGACACCACGCCGATGCCCGACCACATCCCCAAGGTGGAGGAGATCGGCGCGACGTCCGCCCCGCTGTTCAGCGCCGCCTACTTCATCGGCGACCGGTGCCGGGCCTACAACGACGACTTCATGAAGTGCAAGGCCGAGGCCAACGGCCGGGGCGAGCTGGAGTGTCTGAAGGAAGGGCGGAAGGTGACGCGCTGCGCCGCGAGTGTGTACGGTGGACCCCTTTCTCTCCTCTCAATTGAGCTTGTCTTTGTGTCTGGGAGAAGCGAGCGATATATACGGGCTCAATTGGTTCCCCCCGCTTTCTGGAGCAGCAAAAGCAAAGGAAATAATAGCTATAACTAACGCGGCCGGAAACAGGATCAAGGATATCAACACCCACTGCCTCAAGCAATTCACCGCCCACTGGGAGTGTCTCGAGCAGAACAACCACCGTCTCTTCGATTGCCGTAAGGCCGAGGTGAACCTGAACGCCTGCGTGTTCGACAAGTTGGTTCGTTTTCCCCACCCCTCCCCTCCCTGACGCTTCTGCTTGTCCTTGTTTCTTGTTCCTCCAAGCCCTCAAACCCCACGGGGTGGGTTAACGAACCGGTACTAACGAGCGACAAAACAGGGCCTCAAGAAAACCATCCCCGGTGCCCCCGAAGATCAAACCCCCGTGCACCTGCGCCCACAACAAATCTTCTCCCGCTATCCCGGCCGGCAGTGGCAAGCGAACGAGGATGGGACACCCATCCTGGACAAGAACTAAGTGGTGGGGTTCGACGTCTGATTTCCTTTTTATGGCCGTGCGGTCTTGTTTTTCCCAGTTTTCTTTGGTCTTTGTTCGAGGTGTTTCGCCCATGATTTCTGATCGAAATGGCTCTCGTGTGTGTATGTGTGTGTGTGTATATATATTAGCATCAGGAATATTCATTTGGTATCAGAAGATGATCCCTCTCTTTTTTTGGTCTGTGTGTAATCCGGGCGGGGGGGGGGCGTGGTGATCCTGTCTAGATGTTACATGATAACATTGTGGTTTAGTGTACAGTACACCGACTCTCGTGACAAAAGGAAATCTCGATGGAGAATGAACCAGCAAGACATAGAAGAAAAGCATGCTCATCATCAAGATGTCCACGCATGCATACATGCTCAACAGAAAAAAAATGAAGTGTATAATATATACGAGAACATAGGAGACCACAGAGAACCCAGCATCTAGCAAGAGCGAAAGAGAGAGAGGGAGGATGGGCCCAGAAATCAAGAATCGCCTCGAGGGATCCTCTTCCTCCGCCAGAGCCTCGTCCTCGCCAATCGACTCTTCACCTCCGCCCACCCAATCTTGAGCACAACTTCCAGCCGCCGGTCCCCGCGGAGGCGCATCCACACCCACAGGACCCCCAGGATGGCCAGATCCACCATCACCTGCCGGAAACACACCCACAGGAACCAGCGGACCCAGGCCCAGACGCCCGAGCGGCGGCGCTGGGCCCGCGCGCGCGCCTCCATCTGCTCGCGCACGGCGGCGATCTCGGCCGTCATCGTCGTCAAGGCCTGCTCGACGCGGCGACGCCAGGATGCCGGTGTGGGAGGGGGCGGCGGCCGGCGTGGCCTCCCTCTTGACGGGGGATCGGGGGGCTCTACTGCTTCGTGAGGATGGGGTTGTGGTCGGTAGTCGTTCGCCTCCGCGTCGTCGTCGTCATCATCTTCTTCTTCATAGAGATTATCCTGAGCCTCCGCGTACACCTCTTCCTCATCCTCCTCCTCCTCATTCGCATCATGATCATGATGATCTACCTCATCATCGCCATATCCCTTGGAACGCGACCGAGCATACGCCCCTGGCTGACTCGGCTGACTCACGGGACTCATCACCCTCAGCCCCGAGCCCTCCTCGCGAACACGTCCGCGCCCACCATGTCGAGACGAGGCCGCCGCCGCCGTTTCGCCCTCCCCCATCGACGTAGCAAGAAGCCACCGCGCATACTCCTCGCGCGACAAGCGTCGCCCCGACGCCGAAGCACCACCACCACTCTCCCCCGCCGACCCACGATGTGACCGGAAATCGGCGGCCAACCCCTGGCTCCTCAGAAGCGCCTCCGAGCCGGACTCCGACGACTCCAACGAAGCGGTATTCGACTTGATCTGATCCCAGACGAACTCCAACTCGGCGACCAGCTCGCGGGCCTCGGCGGTCTGCGACGCATACTGATGCATCGTCTCGATCAGCGTGGAGATGTACCGGCGTTTGGCTTCGGTGCGGGAGAGACCGCGCTGGGCGTACCACGTATCCCTATCCCATATCGAATCAGCATCAGCAAGCAAGTCGCCAGAGAACCTTAGCCAAAGAAACCTCGATCCATCCACCCCAGAACGCATTCCCAAGCTCCCCCCCCCCACCAAAAAAAAAACCAATTGCCCAAGGAAAGAAAACGGCGAAGAATAAACCTACCACTTCTCACACTCCATAAACACATCCGGGGTATTCCCCACCGGTCGATCCATGACACCTTCGACGTCACCTTCTAAAGAACATAGCCATCAAAGATTAGCATTAGCCCCACCACGTAGCTGTCCGGAAGGGATAAGAAGGAAACATACCCATACTCTGCTTATACAAGCCATACAACTTCAAGCGCTCCGAGGCGGGCGGACGCGCCGTCCCCGTCCGCGGAATCCGTTTGACTGTGTTGAGGGCGTGGACGAAGACGCGGTCTGATTTCCAATCAAATTATAAAAGAACAATTAGCACCTGCTCTGAAAAAGGCTTTCCTAGAGTTCGAATTGCGCAGCGAGTAGATTCGAGAGAAATCCCTCCGACCTCAAATGACGCCGGTAGGCGAGATGGCATCCAAGCTTCCGAGGGAATGAAGGAATAACGGAACCACAATCCAGACAAACAGAGAAAAAGGAATGTGGTAGGCTTTGGGGGACAAACGCACCCACTGAGTCCGACATGATTCAACGCGCAACAGCAACGGCAACAACGAACTGGAACCCGAATGTAGTCTGGTCGAGGGTGGCTTCATGAGAGCAGTGGTGGTGGTGGATGCGGAGGCGGAGGCGGAGGCGAAGGCGGGCGCGGTGGTCGTAGCAAGGGGGTACCGCATGGATGGGGGGGCTTCCGCGAGACAGTAAGATTCAGAGTGATCGAATGTCCTCTCGGGAATTTTGTTTCTTGTGCTAGTTCACTCTGGGTTGGAGGGAAAGAGAAGCCGCGAGAGGAGAGAGTGGTCTGGTCGCGCGAGTGGAATTGCAAGGGAAAGCTTCCCCGGATTTCGGAGGTAGAAGGCAGAGACAGATAGATCGATTAGATAGTATGCGCGTCACGAATGGGAGGGGAAAAGGCCGAATGAAATCTGGACTCGACTGAGAATTGGTGGGAGGAAACGGAGAACCAGATGTCAAAGGGGAATTTTTCGAATGGAGGAGGGAGTTGGAGGCTGCAGCATGCAGGGTCAGTCAGGCCGATAAGTGTTGTTGGAGGTTTAACTCGGTTGATGCTGGATTGGAATGGACTGATTGACTGATTGACGGATTCGGCTCAACCGCGGCTGTTCGGCCTCGGAGGTCCCGCCCGTGATTCTGTGGGTTCAGCGCCCTCACTCCCCACCCACTTCTTCGATGCCATCCTTTGCCAGCCTGTGATGCTAGACAATTTCTATGATGTACATCTATCTCAATCCCTCGATTCTACAAAGTGTTGGATCAAGAAGAGGAAATCATCGTAATTGCTACCTCTACCAGTGAACAGCCAGTCAGACATACTCATATATACATTCATACGTACACATACATTCATACATCATTCACAAAACCAAATATCATACCAGACCACAGAATCAATATGTACAAAAGGTAACCACTGTATCAAAAAGAAACAGCCGAATTAATTCTTCGCTGAGCTACTTCGCCGCCCCTTCTCCCCCTCCGACAGGACATTCTCCGGATCCACCGGCTTCCCCGTCATCACCCCCGGCATCCCATCCACTTCCTCCGCCACCGGCGGCCCCGTGAAATGCTTGCGGGCATACACCACGTACCAGCCGATACTGATGGCCGCGAACCCGGCAAACACCACGCTGGCGTAGTTCATGCTGCTGGCGTCGACCGGCAGCGACACGGGCATGCAGAACAGCACCACCGCCAGCACGATCCAGCACACGGCCAGTCCGTTGATCGCGTACCCGAACCGACCCAGCGAGAAGCTCGACTCGCGCACCGCGCGACGGCCCCGGCACATGAGGATCAGGATCGGCAGCCCGTAGGACGTGGACAGGCAGATCGTGGCGACGCCCGTGAACGAGTTGAACGCCGCGCTGGAGCCAAAGTAGATCAACCCTAGGAGACAGTCCACCGCGGTCGACAACACGATCGCCCACACGGGCACGTCCAGACGCTCGTTGACCCGGCGCCAGAGTCGGAAGCCGGGGATCGCCCCGTCGCGCGCAAAGGCGTACGTGCAGCGGCTGGCGGCCGTCAGGGCGCCAATGCCGGCGAACATCAAGATCCCCAGGATCAGGAACAGCAGACCGAAGCCGCCGCCGGCGGAGCCCGTTGCCGTCTTGAAGATCAGCCCGATCGGTTGTCCGCTGGCGACGTCGAGGAGCGATTGCACCGAGGGGAGCACGAACAGGATCGGAATCAGATACACCAGGCCCGTGATGCCGGCCGCCGCCACCGACAGGACAATGGCCTTGGGCACCTCGCGGTGCGGGTTCTGCACCTCCTCGCACATTGAAGCCACCATGCCGTACCCTGTCAGCGTATACGCGGCTTGCAAAAGTCCCACGAAGAACGCCCAGCCGGACGGCCTATTCATCTGTCAGCTGCAATACGAACCCATCCACGCCGACGAGGAAACTCACCAGCCACTCTGCGAAGAGTCGTAGTGCGCAAACACAAACTCAGCATCGCGACGATGATCCGCCATCGTCAAGAGGGTAACCAATATGATAATTACGCTAGCCGCAGTCCAATAGATGCACACTTTGTTGATCAAGTCCAGGTACTTGGAGAAGAAGATATTGACCAGTGCGCAGACAAGAATGACCGCCCAGAAGGTGAGGATCGTCTGCCACGCGTTGGCCACAAAGTCCTCATTCCACAGGGAGATGGCGCTCAGGATCAGCTGACCACCGGAGAAGGTGATGCTGAGGGTGACGGTCCAGTTGCCCACCAGCGTCAGCCAGCCGTCGATGAAGGACAACATCGGGGCCCATCGTCGGGTCGGTAGCATGGCACTCCAGTAGTATACACCTCCAGCGGTAGGGTAGACGGCGCAGATTTCGGCAAGCGATGCGGCGATGGCGATGGAGATGAGTGTGACGAGGACCCAGCCCCAGATGATGGTCACCGACTGGCCATCGGCGAGGGTGATGTAGAGGGTGGTGCTGAGACCGAAGGGCGCGGCCATGATTGCAAAGGACCTGGTTTCTCTCATCAGTCAAGATCTCCAATCGCAGTCCAGTCTATGGTTAACATACAGCCCGAGAATACTGAGCATGCTCAAATTTCGCGGCAATTCGCTCTTGTACCCCATGCGAGCCAACGCCTCATCGGCGTTGGCATCCACAGAGGCTTGACGCATATTGATAGATGGATAGATGGATGGATGGGAGTCGAGAGGGAAGCTTTTATTGGGAGGTTGTCATCGCAGGTCAAGTAGAGTGATGACTAGAGTAGGAAAGAAGAGGAGCGTTAGTAGCGAATGCGACCAGGATACCCCGCGAGGAAAGAAGGAAGGTGAGAGGACGGAAGGAGGGAGTGTATAAATGGGGATGATGGGATGAATGATAATAGAGCGAGTAAAACAGGAAATAGAGGTAGAGGTGGGAAGTGGAAGTGGAAGTGGAAGTGGAAGTGGTAATGGTGAAATAAGGTACCTGGTAGTGATAGGAATGTACCCAGCAACAGTGCAATGAAGTCAGTAAGTACTCCGGACTCATTAAGTCAATGAATGGAATGCTTAATTCCCCCGCACGTCACCCATGATCAGGTCATCCTTTCCCTTGCCTTCTTTTACCACTCAGCATTTCTTCCCACTCTCTCCAGACTTGCACATGAAAAGGACCCATCGTCGAACCGGGGAGGCAGAGAGACTCTACCAATCACCGCCGAGCAGGCTCGATAAACTCCTTCACTAACAGACTCCGGTGTCGGGCTAGACGCCCTAAAAGGGGCGCGGTCCGAGACCGCGCTGATAAGCACACCTACAATCCAAGAAAGAACGATAAGTCAATAATCAATGATCAGACAAGCCCATTAGTTCTGGCTATGAAATGCATCCCTACGCTTATCTGTCTCGTCGATACAGTCAATCCACCTCTTATCGGGGTTCTCCCTTTTCATCCTCTCCCTGCACACATGCTCCTGAAACACATTAGAACAGCCACGCGATTGATTTGAAGGAGAATTCACGCGCGGATGGCAACTCCGGCTGGCACTCATGCATGACGGGTGGAGAGGGACGAACACCTCGTGTTGGTAGAGCCACCATCTCCTCGGCCTCCTCCTCCACCTCCTCAACCATGGCGCTGCCCAGTCTGGCTCCCCGCGGGGTAATTCCAGCTTACTTCCTGAGGTTCCAGTTTAGGGCCCGTCGCTGCCTAACCCAACGACTACACCAACTTACAACGTATTACAAGAAACTACAAAAAACGAAAAACTACATCAACACCAGACAGGCACACCTATATCTCTAACTAATCGGTGATTCACGGCTATCCATTTGCTAGGTACATACAGCACAGTGAATTGTCACTATTCCAGTGACGGCTGCCACATCGCTTGACGGCACGCACCCACGCGGGTTCGGCCGGCAGATGAGCGCCAAAGTGATCCTGAAAGAGAGGTCCAGTGGAGGAGGGGATAAAGAGCGACGGACCGAAACAAGAATAAGAACCGGGGATAGGGGGGAGGGGGAGGAGGGGGAGGGGGCATAAGGGGGTATCAAACACGGGGCTCAGTATTAGAGACACTTAATTCGCCTCTGCTCGAGGCATTTTCTGTTCAACGAATAAGGGAAATGGATGCTTTTTTTCGAGTGGTTTTTGGAAAGATGGTGCAGGGTGGGGGATTTCTCTAGTATATGGATAGACCTGTCTTACTGAAGCGGCAGTAGGCTCCAATGGCTCTCCCATCGCTCGGATGAAAAAAGACTCCAGGTGTTGGTGATAGGGGGACAAAGGTGAAACGTGCTGGAAAATAAAAGAATTGAAAAAGAACAGGTAAAGAGCAATCGAGGCCAAATCCGCCGAGTGGACAGTGGGAAGAGTCAGTCCGATCATCGAGACGCCTCACATTAGGCGGATGGCCACCTGGCCTAACATCACGCCCACCGCCATTTGATCCTTTGGTCGTTCGGATCCTTAAAAGGGTCGGATTTTGGCAACCACCCCTCAGACCCCGAGAGAAGAAGATAGAGGAGACAATCAAAAGCCTCATCGAAACAAGGCCCCAATTGGAGAGACCACTAGCCAGCTAGGGTCGATCCGATTGTGAATGATCATCGTCCGGATGAAGAAAAGAGGCACAAAAATAATCGCAAACGCCCAGTCATGCAGTCGTCAATCCAGATAAGTCGTTACATGGTGATAATGTGAGGGGAAAGGTGAGGATGCAAATGTCATCGCAGGCATATCAATCGAGTGGTGGATAGGCTGCTCCGTGGTTAGGGGCTGAGCACCGCGCCAATATCTTCCGTCCCGTCCATGCCGAACCCAGCCATATCGACTGAGTGCAAGGAACCCGGACCTCCGCGACCCAGAGAGATGTCGGACGACGCATAATCATGCTTGAGTCGTTCATGGGGCCCAAAGAACGGTCGACTCTCCTCGTTCGGAGTGTTCCCATCGCCAGCGGCCCACGGCCCATGTTGCCAAAACCTCGTATTCGCCTGTTGATCGCCAAAGAGATCATGGTGGTCATGATGGTTTTCCGGGGCGTGATGAGCAAAATCGTTCGGGGACTGGAATCGCAGATGCGACCGGCTGAAGTTCGAGCAGGGAGAGTCGGCGTGCAACGGCAGGTCCAAGTTGGGGAACGGCATGTCCTCCACCGTCGTGATATCAATGGTTGGGTTCTCCGTTTGCCGAGCTAGGGCTGTTGCCAGGCGGAGGTTGGAAGCTGAACTTTGACGACTATGGCTGGCCGACCGTTCGATGGCCCGTTGCACGAAACTCCCACATGTCTTAAGGATCTTCTCTTGGTCGGCAGGAGAGAGGCTGGCGAAGAAGTCGTTGGCGAGAGAAGGCCGGGGCAGTTCAGGTTCAACGCGGGTGAGGCCAAAGGTCTTCTGGGCATATTCCGTGAAGCCAGACGGCATGTCGTAGGGAGACTGGTAGACGGTCGGGGCCTGCTCACGCTGTTGCTCGAGATAAGCGTAGGTGCGTGGCACTTTCGAGAGCGCCAAGCCGCTGCCGTTCACCGCCTCTTGCTTGATGGGTTCCGGTTCCTTCTTTTGCAGCACGTCAAGCCGGTCCCGATGACTCACCAGCGAGAAGCGGAGCATCTGCAACAGCCGCGTCACCTCTTCTGATCGCATGTTCAGGGGTTGTAGCGAAAGAAGAGAGCCATCAGGCGCCCGGGGTTGTACCCGCTGCTGAGCCATAGCCAGTTCCAACTTCTCCAGGCCATTGGGCGGTGGGACAGATCCCATCGGACCCAGGAGCGTGTCAACAACCAGCTCGGGGCTGACAATGATGTATCCGGCGAAAACATTGGCATGGTCGGTAATCTGAGCCAGGCGACGGCGAGCGATCAGCTCCCGAACATTGGCAAAATTGTTTGCGGGAAGGTGGTGGTGGTGATTGTTCTGCTGCTGCTGCTGCTGTTGTAATAAATGGGACGGCGGATAATGATGGGTGGGATGAGTCTGGGAGTGTTGACGAGCATGAGGCTGCAAATGCGACTTGGTGACGTGCGGGTACGGGGCATGACGGGAAGATTGCGTTGGCAGGGTACGGTAAGCAGACGGCATCGCAGCAGGAGGCGGAGGAGGAGGAGGAGCAGCAGCAGCAGCAGAAAGCGCAGGGCGTGGAGGGGCAAGAGAAGAATGCTGCAGCAATGAAGGGCGGGGAGCAGCAGCAGCAGCGACGGCGGCGGCGGCAGCTGCGGCAGCGGTAGTGTGAGTATGCGTAGTGTTGTTGGCGGCAGCGGCAGGAGCAGCAGCAGCACCGACAGCAGAGGCGGTGGGAAGCGACAGAAGTTGTTGGTGGTGAGGAGGAACGCCAGCAAAGTGAGGGGCATACGGAGTCGTGGCAGGGAGACGATGGTGGGGTTGGTAAGAGGGGACCCGGGCCATCACAGCGCCAAGGGACTTAACGCTGTCCAGGAAATTCGCCCGCTGGTTGTGGACAGGCACAGTAGGGTTGTGCGTATACTGAGCCCTACATTCAGTGGACGATTCGCCCAGATAATACCAGATCTTCTCGCCCTGCATGAGGTTGATGGGCGCCGATGGTGGGGCAATGTGGTAACTAGTGCTGTCCACCGTCTCGAATTCGGCCCACTGATACGGGGAGTCTCCATCACCAAACGGATTTCCTGCCACCGGCACGGCTGACTCCAGCTCTTTCCGGCTCTCGGGCTTCCGAGCCAAGTGGGCAGGAAGAGGCTTGGTTCCTGGTGCCAGCGGTGAGAAATTACTCCGTCGAACCACGAGCATCCAGCGGTATGGTAATTCAATTACGTCCCTGTGCGTCGGTCACATCAGTCAGTCGGTCAATCAATCAAACAGTCCGTCAGACATTCCCATCACTGCATCATCGTCGTGATATCACCAATCGGGTAGTTTCCAAACAAGCGGGGGGAGGGGAGAAGGATGCTGTCTTACCCTCTAGGAAGCACCTTGACCAGCAACATTCGTTCCTCAGGTCGGTTCTCAAGCACCACCGCCCCATTGATTTCCTTGTCCGCCTGGAACTGCACTAGCTCCCCAGCCACCAAACGCCGTGCGGTTTGCATGAGTTTGCGGTCGTAATCGAGCGAATCGCCGTTGCCCATCCACGACGGTTTCTTTTGGCGGTGGTACTTGCATTTAAGGTCCACGCTAGGGATCGAATACTGCTCGCCATCGTCGGCGATCACGGCGATCACACCTTCCTCCACTTGCACACCAGCCAGAAGCGCACAAGTGGCATGGTAGGAACGGGTACATTTGCCGAAATTGCATTGGAAGCAAGCACCGCGCACCTCGCGGCAAAAAAGGCACTTGAGGCCCATGCGAGCCTTGGGGACTTTATCCACATCGCACACCACCTCCCGTCCACTCTCGTCCCGAAGAATCGTTGTCTCCTCTGTATACAGAGCACAACGCCGATGGGCGTGTGCCTTGCCATCCTCGGTTGGTAAGAGATCTTCGTAGTCGAGATTGTTGGGACACAAAACGCAGGGGATTTTCCGCGGAACATCCATACTCATACGCATACGTTTTGCCTTGGTGGTTTCGCCGTCCTGCTTCCGCTTGCGCCCCCGAGTAGATGTCTTCTCGGGAACACTGCGAGGCGGTGTCAGAAGATCCGACACGCCTTCCATCGCATCCAGGTCGCTGTCGTATTCTCCATAATATTCAGGAGTTGCCTCCCCGCGAAGCTTTCGTTCAATCTCGTCAACATCAATCCAGACACTGTCGGCTTCGCAGTGGCACTTCTTGGCCACCCGTCCATAGTCCAACCACTTTTCCGTGGCGAAGTTAACGGATTCGGCACAGTTGTAACCCAAATTGTAGCCAGAGTGGTAGCCATATGGATAAGTGATGACGAATTCGCCCTCGTAATGCACCAGTCTGTTGACTGTGATGCCATACTGTGACTTTAATAGACTAGGCGAGACAAGGTAAGTTTTGTGGCGGAGGAATTGGTCGCAGCTCTTGGCATCACTTTGCCATATACCTTGATCTAGAATTAGCACTGGAAGGCCACCGTACTTGGCTTGTTATCTTACTCTTCATGGCCTGTTCGAACCGAGGAGCATCCTCCTGAGAAATGCTGTACCATTGCTTCGGAGCTCCGAAATGGATATAGTTGATGCTGTACAGATCCATGTCCTCCAGGTGCCAGGCGAAAGTCGCTTTCCACATACCCAGATAGAGATATGCAGTATTAACACCCGGCACTTTCTGCCCGAGCACGTCCAACAAATTCGGTAACCGGGCGACGTTCCACGAAGTCGTGATATTGTCATCGAAGAGGGAGCCAGGCATATCAGCGCCGTACAGCGGGTTGTTGAACATCAAGGACTTCCAGTAAGCGGTTTCTAGCTCCTCGCATCGTTCTGCCGTGTACTCTTCGCTGTCATGAATGCGATAATCGAAGTCTTTAAAGGCCTCCTCGTCCACATAGTCGACTGCATCACCGCCCTTGTTGTGTTTTCGGCGCGCAGTAACTGACTTGGGCTGCCGACCCTTGGGCTTCGGGCCGGGTAGGGATTCACCGTCGCTCAACTCCTCCGTCTTCGTCTCCACTGGATTTGATTCCGGGGAGACAGGGGTCGGAGGACCTTCCGGCTTGATCTTGTCGAGGCCTTCCTCGGCAGGAGGCTCCTCCTTGACCTTAACCTGGTTGGACCGTTTGGGCGGGCGGCCCGGACCTGGACGACGTTTCTGCGAGTCTGCTCGAGGCGTCTGGTTTCGAGGCGCAGGATGGGCGCGATTCACCCGCTCCTGATTCCGGCGCCGCTCACCTCTGCGTGCGGGAGGTTGGTGACTGCTTTCTTCACACAATCCTTTCCACTGGGGCAGATTGTATGATCGCTGTCTCTCGATGTTGGCCTGTGTGTATGTCCCGTGCGAACCGTGGAACTCCTGCATGATCGGATTCTTCACGCGAATCTTCTTCACGGCTTCGTCGAGCGGCGGAAGGGCATCGGACCTTTTGAGACGACCGATGAGCGCTACTTTTCGTAGGATTGACTGGGGACACACTTACCACTCCTTCGGGGGAATGATCTTGATAATACCCGATCGCATGCCATACTCCTCGACTTTGTTGATGAACGACTGAAAGTCCCGGAACTGATCCATGGTCTAGCGAGTTTCCAGTTAGCCCAAGCGTCCGATGCAGAAGCTAGACGATCGGACTCCGTCAGCGGGAGACCAGGCGACTCACCGGCTTGAAGACGGGAACCTTGCCACCACCATAGTAGTGATCTGGCTCAATCACTTCGTCGTCGGCTTCCACCGAGGGTATCTCCTCCTGAGCGCCGGGGACATTGTGGTCGAGTTCAAGGTCCGATAGCTCCGAAGGCACGCCCTCGGGGGCCTCCTTCTTGCCGTTGGCGCTTTGCGGCGGAGTGATTGAAGCCGCATGGGTCGCCGGACCGCCCGCGATCGACTCGAAGAGGGGTTGATCAAGCGCTGCCGCCATCATCTCAAGATGAGAGAAACGAAAGGGGGGGAGAATTGGTCGGAGAGATCGATTGGGGTGCCGTCGTCGGAAGAAGCGACCGCTGATCGACGGCAGGATAGGGATTCCCAGCGGTCGGGGGAGTAAGCGTGACGTAGAGGAGGTAACTTTCAGCAGGTGCTGTACTGCGGAAGCCGGTTAATATCGCGACGGTA